TCGCTCAGAGCTGGGGGTGTTTGCTTCCTCACAGGAGCAGATGGGAACTGTCTAAGGCAGGCCACGCAATTCCCACATCCTGCCTGGCTGCTTGGAAGTGGGAAGCCAGTGCAGAGTGGGGAGTAAATGCTGGAACCTTGAGCTGTATCACTGCTTCCTACACAGGGAGTATGGAGGGGAAAACAACCGGTAGGACAGTTAGGAAGAACTTGGACCTAAAAATGCCTAAATGATCTTAAAAAGCCACAATTCTGTACACATATCCTGTTTTGTGTTATATATAAACAAGATACTACCATATAAAATTCAAGCCAGTAAATTAAAATTTCACCATTACAGTGTTTCTATCAACATTTATATTCTTTTTCTGTCAGGATAAATATGTTCTGTACTGGAGTTGTTTGCAAGTGTCGTGGCAGTATTTAGTGTATTTAAAAGCGTTGCTACAGCTCTATGTTCAGCTGTGGAACAAGCAGTTCAGCTGGCTGAGGGTGTGCATTGGCTGCACTGCACTGAATAAACGTGCACACAGAGGCTCTGTGTGCCTGGGGCTACCACCACCCCTGGGCTCAGCCTGCATCTGCCTCACTTTGCTGCTGATGCTGCTCTGTCTGTGCAGAGTTCCCTTCGACCCCACAGCCGAGGGGAGAGACCCCTTTTGTCCTGGGAGGTGAGGAATTGCTGAGTAGGGAGCGTGTTCTTCGCTGACCAGAACACAGCCCTATGCTCAGCTCTGTTGGCTGAGAGGATCCTGCTGTTCAGACACCCCTGCTGGGCTGCCAGGATCCTGGGAATGCTGCTCCCTTCTCTCACAACTGGCACCGTGGAGCAGGAGGAGGCAGCAACGGAGAAGACACCTGCTGGCACATAATGGTCATGTTGGGGCAGGATTGGAGCCTCTTGGAGTTATTTTTTCTTCAGAGATATTTTTTGTTACAGAGAAAAAGTCTTCAGAAAAATGGTTGTCATCTTATTTATGTGTCTGGTGTTGGAGCACAGCAGTCTGTGCCCGAGTACTTCACAAGTTTGACCTAAATTCTGAGCGAGACCTGCTGTGTTCTCTGTTCTGCTAAACTGGGGGGGTTGTAGCTGATTTTGAACAAGAAACATTAAGTCTTTCACGGATATCTGAAGAGAATTAATCATACAGACAGTGTCTGCCTGTCCCCAAGTCTCCCTTAACAGAAAGCACAGTTCTGTAGAGATGTATCTAAACATGAACGTTATTCCAAATTCAGGCTGAATTACACTGTCAGGAGGTGGAGGACAAGTCCTGACACAGGGATTTCAGCCAGCAGGCAGTGACTCCACTCTCAACTCTGGGTGTTTGTTTCCTCTTTCAAAAAGCAATTGGTTTTTTGTCAGGTGGGACGTTCTGGAAACGAGTTAGAGTTTGTATGAACAAAGAATAGTTAATAGGATGGTTATAAAAAGATCCAATTTAATGTGGCATCCAAATTAGAAAATATAAAATATTATGCACCGAAACTATAAAAGCAAATGTTCAGCCTTTGGCTGCTGCAGTGACAAAGTGTTTTGCCTCCCTGATAGATAGGGTAGTGCAGTGATAGATTTAAAAGGCCCAGAGTGGTGAGTTCTAAACCTCTGCCTCTCATCTGATACACCCGTTTCAAGATCTCCATCAATTCCCTAGGCCTGTATTAAAGATAACAGAAATTGCTTTTTGCAGCATCAGGGAGCAATTATCTAATGCAGGGAAACTGCTGTGAGCCAAAATGCATTTTTACTTGGATTACTTTAGACTTTGCTGATGTATTTCAGTTTTTGGAACCATTTGGAGTCTGGTTTGGAAGGGGCTCTGGAACTCATCCAGTCCAAGAGCCTTAGATTAGGCCATACAGGGTCCTGTCAAGTGAGTCCTGAACCACTTCTGCCATTCTCTAGGCAACCCAGCCCCATCGTTGTTTTTAGGATGAGGAATGTTTTCCTTGTATCCAGATAGTATTTCCCACAAAGCAGCTCGTGTCTCTTGCTTTTGGTCCTCTCCCTGTGCATCCTTGTGAAAAGAGCACCCCCACTTTCTGTGTAACTGCTTTTGAGGTTTGAAAAGACTATCATTAAACCTCCCCTGAGCTTTCTGTTCTCTCCTTGGAACTTCCTCAACCATCAATTCCCTCATCCCCTTTTTGTTCTTCCCACTCATCCATTCTTTCCAGCATCTATAATTCTCTGGTTCCTCAACTGTGTGCTTTAGGAAAGAAAAATTGTTTTATCTGCAGTTTGGGAACAATTTAAATACAGAAATTACAATTTAACGTTTGATTCAATCAAACAATTGAATATTGGGCTACTAGGAGCAGTTTGCATTCCATGTCTAAACTTTTCTACTTCGTTCTGCCATGGTTTTAAACTTCAGCCCTGTGCTGTATAAGTGTAGGGAACCTGTTACAGAAAACCAGTGTGGACTGAAACACAGTGTAGACAAGAAACAAATACTTTCTGTCTCTTGGAATTCTGATGTGGTTCTCAAAGAAAAAGAAACTCTTGGAGCAGGATATTGCTGCAACAGAAACTGGAGGTAGGAAGAGTTTACCATCTGGCAAGGCCCCCAGACCAGATGGATCCACTAATGACTTTTATAAAGCATTTCATCAGACCTGCTGGAACACGTGTCTGGCATCTCTAATTATCCTGAATTACCAGGCTGCCAGCCTTGGATGCTCCATCCAGGACTGCTGATCTTGAAAGGGAAGGAAAAGGAAGTGCTCCCTGAAAACTCCTCTTCCTCACAGGCTGTTTTATTACTGAGGTGGAATGTTAAAGGTTACCTCAGGTTATTGCCTCATCCTAGGTGGATTGTTTGCATTGAAGAGGGGCCTGTGGAGGCACGTGGATCTAAGAGATTGTTTGCAGACACATCTTTTGGAATTTGTGCAGGGGCATCCAGGAGCTCAGGAGAGCAGGAGGGATGGGCCCTTCTGCCTCTGTGCTGGGTGTGCAGCTCCTGCTGCTGTTACACAGAGACAAGGCCAGTCCTGGGGGGAAGGGGCTTTGAGCCCCTCTGTTTCCACCCCGAGCCCTTTTACAAGAGGGAATTCATGGCCTTTTCTCTCAAACCTGCAAAACAGGGTGAAAATCTCTTGTGAAATTTCTTCTGCCCACCCTGCTTAGGTCTTGTTCTCCCTGTAGAAGGAATAGGAATTAATCCCCTCATAATGTTTTCTGCACCATACATTGCTGTTTGAATACCTTCTCTCTTCCAATCATATTTTCCTATAAATACAATATAATAGTATTTCAGTATTTTCCAGTGGCACAAAGAGGGATGTGGTATCACTGTAAATGGTCTAATTACTTACAAAAGTTGCATAAATGCATCTTAACAGTTCCAAACACAAGCAGTGAAGTTTATCCTCCTTTAGGAAGGCAGGGAGGGAGCCTGTGCCAGCAGGAAATCTTTGCCCCTGAGGACAGCACACGACCCACCCAGCAGAGATGTTGTATAGTGCACTTAGAGTTCTTGTAGTTGAACACCCATGGCACGTGTAAGTCACACCCAGGTATCAGACAGTCCCAGGAGCTGCTCTGGAAATGGGCTCTGTTTCCTTCCTGTATCCCACTGTTCTGCCTGCCAAAAATAAACCCTTGGTTACCCAAGAGCCAGACTGAGCGTGGGCAGGCGGAGAGCACTGGGAAGGCTGCTGGGGAGATGAGTGTCCTCAGGGGGCTGGGAAATCGCACTGCTCACTGGGGGCCAAGAATTGAGAGTGCTCCCTAATTTTAGCCCCCCACTGGGTGATGTCATGCGTCAAACGGGGTCAGACAAACAGCACAAACACTCAGCACAGACACCTTTATGCTGTGGGGATTGTTCCTCCCACAGTGCAGGAGGGGAGGGTCTGCTGTGCCAGAGCTGCTCTGTGCTGAAGGGTGGCACAGGTAATTAAGTTCTGTTCTAGCAGGGAGAGATTAGCCCAATTAATCTTTTCCTCTGGTTCTTACCATTGAAGGAAAGTGTTCTAACTTAATTACAGGTATCACACCTGAAGTGTGAGGCGTCCCCCTTCGTTCCCCTCAGAGGTTTAGGACTGGGGAGAACTCTGACACAGTCTGATGTACAACCCAGGCCTGGGGGAGATAAAACCATTCAGCTGGGCTAAAATGGTTCTTTTCCCAGGAATTGTTCTTTAACGTGAAGAAATAAAACACTTATGTTGGTGAAACTTCTTGAAGGTTTTTGATTAAAATTGAATATGTATGTCTGTGAAACTTCCTTATTTTTTTTGGTTAATTCTTCTTAATAATTAGTATTACCTATTCCTGGGGTAGCAGAACTCCTCAGCTCCCCATGGCCATCTGTTGAGTGCCAGTTTATTAATAGGATGGTTTTCCTTATTCCATCTGTAGCTCACACACTCAGCCATTTGTTTCCTGGATAACTGTAAAACTCCCTTTGTATTCATATGACATTACAGAGGGGGTTTATTATTATTTTTGTATCTGAAGAGTTGTGAACGGAATTATGGCTTGATTCTGGTGAAACAATTTATTGCTGTGTCTCTTCTGAGATTGCTGTCTTTAAACATTTGAAGATGAGAGGATTTCTTGTGAAGAATACTCATTATTCAGCCTCTGATCCTTATTTCAGAACATTTGAGCTGAAGGCAAAAGAGGAATAAATTGTAGAAAATCATCCACTGACTTCATAAAACTATGAAAGACTAAGCTACAGGTCTGTGTTCAATCAGCTTATCAACCAGAACACTGCCCATGGTTTTGCTTAATTTTTCTATTGAAAGTATTATTACAGGATAAATTGTATTCTACACTCGTCATGTTATGTCAGCAGAACATTCCTGAAAGTAAATAATGGAACAGGCTGAGTTTTGAACACAGTTGTTACATCATTCCGATAAATCAGAAGGAGCTGATGGGTTTGGAACTAAAAAACCCAAGTGATTTTTACTGTAATTTTTCTGTGTGCCTCTGTGCTGGCTCAAAGGTGTATTTACTGTGCCTCCCTGCGTGTTGTGCCGCAGCCTCGCCATGCACCCCGACAGGACGCTGGTGGCCACGGGGCAGGTGGGCAAGGAGCCCTACATCTGCGTCTGGGACTCGCTGCGGCTGCACACGGTGTCGGTGCTCAAGGACGCGCACACGCACGGCGTCGCCTGCCTGGCCTTCGACTCCGACGGACAGGTGGGTGCCCCGCCCCGCGGGGCTTCGGTGCTGCTTCCCTGGGGTGCTCTGGGCTCGCTCTGCATGGCTGGAGTGGTGTGGTTGCAGTGCCAGCTCAAGGCCTTGGGTTCTGTCATCACTGCAGTTACCGTGGGACAGCTGCACACACGGCTCCTGCTGAAGGGTTTGGAGGGAAACACCAAACCCGGCATCCCACTCCAGGGGAGGCTCTGGGTGTTGGGCAAATACCCAGGGCAGAAATGCCCCTCTGTGGTTTGGCTGTGATGGCTTCACCTCCTCCTTGTCACCTGCTGTTCCAAGAAGTGGGCTCCTGGTAAAGCCCTCCCAGCCCTGCAGCTTCGCTGGCAGCAGAGCTGCACTGATCTCACTGCTGGGAGAGGCTCCTGGGCTGGGGTGCCCTGGCAGTTTAACTGAGTAACGGGGTCAGGGCTGAGCGTGGCTGTGCACAATGGCATTGGTTAGGGGGATATTTTGAGGCAAAATTTCAAATATAAGGAAATGGTGGGCTGCTCACAGCTGGGCTTGTCACAGCTAAACACATTTCCCCTGGAGGTGAGCTATTAAAAGCTTGCAGTTGGGAATGAAGTAGGAGGGAAAGAGATCTAAAATTCACCTACCTGAGAAATACTTCACAGAGCTTTATAAATATCCGTGTGTGCAGTTTGTCATTACTGGTGTCCTGATGAGTCTCCATGTGTAACACTTCACAGCTGGTTGCTAAAATGTTCTTAGGGATGCTTAGATGAGCTGCCAGCTGGATTCTTGCACGGATCCTTCCTGGGTTTGCATGTCCTGGACCTCAAAGTTGCATCCCAGCAGGGCAGAACTGTGGCATGTCCTGGCCTTTCAAAGATTTTCTTAAAGTCGTGTCCTAGATGGGTTGCTGACTATTGAAGTGCTTTATTGTCCTCTACTTTGCTACTCTCCCACTGACCACACAGTGCTTTATTAGTAGTATTAGTATAATTAAATGGTTAGTATTTATTCTTTATTTATTTATTCTGAGCTCTGTCTCAGCTCAGAACTGACCTTCAAGGCATCAAATGTATTCTCACATGAAATAAAAGTACTTTTGGAGGGCCTTAGCTTGTGTGTATTCAGCTTGGAGTCTGAAATGAAGGACATCAGCATGAGCTGATGCCTTTAACATGGTTAAAAACATTGGATAACTTGAGTTCTAAACACCACCACGGATTATATTTCACCATTGAAAATTGGAACTAACTTTCTATTTTAAGGTTGTTTTCAGTGATATTCCTCCAATTTTCTTAAGGTAAAGACATTTTCTCTACAATCTCCTGTGCCAATACTAATTAATGAAAAATGTGGTCCTTGGAATTGTGGAATAAAACTCTCACATGAGAAAGCTCCCAGATCAACAGAACAAAATTTCCAGAGCTGTAATATTCCTTCAGAACTGCATGTTCTTCATTTATCCCCCTCATTTTTAACTTCACAGGGCCTGGTGGATACACTTTTTTTTTAGACCTTTGTGAAGGTCCTGCTGGGGTCTGGCTGTCATTAACCCCCCAACTCAGTGCTGGGCTGCCCCTGCAGAACAGGAACAGTTCTGTTCCCGGAGGGGCTGCAGAACCTGCAGTTTGTTCTGGAAATAAAGATTTGCATTGAATGCTTCTCTGTCTGGAGGAAGAGCAGTGCTGGAACACATAAATATGGATGATGCACCTTGGCTTTCTGCTGCTCCTCTGGCTTTGCAGGAGCAGCTGCTGTGCTGAGCCCCAGCTAAAGGGCAGGGGAGGAAGCTCTGGGTAGTTGGAATTCAGAGCTGCAGCAGTGCTGGTTTGTTTGGTCAGCATTGCCAGGGGAGCTGGAGTCTGTGATGGGGCTAAACAGGCTGTGCACACTCTGCCTGCACCCTGTAATGCAGACCTTGCCTTCCCTGCCCCCCAGGGGCTGCCACAGCCAGGCAGGTTTGGGGTTCAGCCCCAGAGCACAGCTCAGCTCAGCAGTGCAGTCAGAGCCGTGCTCTTCCCTCCGGTGACTCCATCAGCTCCACGGCCCAGAGCGAAGAGCCCGGGTGGTTCTGCTGCACTCCCTCCCTGGATCCCTCCAAAATGTCCTGCTTTATGTGTTTGCTGGGAGTGATGCTGGGGTTTAAAGTTTAAAGTGCAGGATTTTAGTTTGGGCTTCTTCTGTCTGAGCAGGAGATGCCATTTGGCAGGAGGGGAACTGCATTTGGTTCAGATGTTTAATGAGAAGCTGTCAGTTTGCCTGTAATTAAAAATGTCATTTGTTAAATCAAGAATTAACTATAATTTCTCCCTAAAAGTACCAACAGTTCCCCTTCACAGAATTACCTATAAAACAGATGTCTTAAATGAAATATTTTGTGAATACTGCACAGTTCAGTTTCTACTCTGTTTTAGATGAACCCTTTCTGTGTGGTTTGTAAAGAAACTTATTTTTAGTGGAGTGAGGGGGGCACTGCCATAATACATACATATATTTCTAAGTTTTTCATTAGGTAGCACTAGGCTTCTTTAGCCACATCTTCTAAATCTGTGTAGATTTAAAAATAATTGTTAATTATGTGCATAAACTACTTGGCAGATACTTTCTTCTGGTAGTTCTGTGAATTCTCTGAATAGAATTCTGGCAAATGCTCTTCCAGAAGGAGGACTAAAAGCGTTCCAGGCAAAAGGGAAATTCAGCATTTCTCACTTTCCTGCCAGCAGGAGCCCTTCCTCAGCAGACCACTTTAAAAGAAAACAGCAAATATCTCTTAGTTTCTGTAGTACTTTCAGTGCCCATCTACCCCCAGGGATGGTTTCCTGACTGGGAGTTACAGTTCAGCTCTGGGGTTGGTCACAGCACGGACCTAAGAGATGCTGGAAGTGCTGCCGTGGTTTCCATGGTGAGAAAAAGTTGCGATCAGTGAAGGTGCCATGAAAAATAGCTTGTGTTGTGATCAGTACAGCCAGACCCCTGGCAGGTGTAGGTTGCTAAGGGCAAATAAAATGCTCTCTGCCTTTTCCCTTCCAGGTTTTCCCTTCTGTTTTATTCTGGTCTTTTTATTTCTTGTATTTTTGAGATTGAAAAGTATTAAAATTATTTTAATTGATTATCAATAGAACTTTGATTTAGCTTGGTTACTAATTACTAATTTTAGCTATTTTAATTGGTAATTTGATACACTAAGCTCTGTAAAAGACAATTACTAAAAGTACATCCAGTTCTGATTCTAAAGCCCAACAAAATGAACATAATGAACAAAATGGGAGCTGGAAATAGTGAGAGCCTTTATTTCCTGTTCGATTTTATTTTCAAATTAATAATCAAAGTGCACCTGAAACAAGCCCCTCAGACCCTTCATGGTCAGAGTTTCCCTGGAAACGTTGTACCTGGGATCAATAAGCTTTTGGAAAAGGGAGGCATTTCGGTGCTCTCCCAGTGAGGAAATGCTGAGTGTGACTGTCTGTGCCTGTGCCAGGGAGTTCACACACAGGTCACACGAGGGGAAATCCACTCGGGCAACAATCCCGGGCACTGCAGCGCGGTGGTTTGGAGCTGCTTTTCCTCTGACTGCATCCCTGCTCTCTCCACAGCGTTTGGCTTCCGTGGGGCTGGACGCCAAGAACACCGTGTGCGTGTGGGACTGGAGGAGGGGGAAGCTGCTGGCCACGGCCACGGGCCACTCGGACCGGGTATGGTGGGAGGGCTCCGGGCGGGGCTTTGGGTGGGTTCGTGCAGAGGGACTCTGGGGCCTTCCCCAGGCTGTGAAATGCTGCACAAGGGATTTACTGCTCCTCCTGTGCCCCACACAGAGCACTGGCAGAGAGCCTGGCAGGGAAACCCTCTGTCCCCACACACCGAGCAGGGCGAGCTGCAGCTCCTCGGAGGAGATGAGGAACGGGAGCTCAGGGGGCACAGATCATCTTTTCTCTCAGGATGTCAAAAAGACAGACTGAACTAATTCCCTTTTAGTTTTGCTTAAAACAGTCAGCTGTAGAAGCAACCTCATTAGGGTAAATACTCATTTTCTATCTGTTAACGTCAGTTAAGGGCTCATAATTTCAACGAAGGTGAGAACTGACCAGGCTGGAATTCTGAACGTTATTCAGGATTAGGAAATGTTTTACCCAGGTTTAACACAGGCAAAAGCCCTCCTTGACATCCATAAGCACATGGATGCATGCATTGAAATAAATTATGGGCACAGTCTGACAACTGTTCTTGTGTCTGTGTTATGGTGTTATACCATGTTTTAATGTTATAATATTGGGGTATTACAGTGCTTTACTACACATACTGCATGCAGAGCAGCAGACTGAGCCCTTCCCTACAGCTGGTGTGACATACAGTCTGTCTGCATCCTGTGTGTCAGCTGAATAATCTGGTAGTTCATTTTTGCCTGCAGTGTTCCCAACACAACAGCATCTCAGTCCTTCTTGAATTTCTCTTTCAGAACTGATTCACTTCCCAGTTACACCAGTGGAAGTTTTGCTACTGACCTCAGTAGGTACAAGATCAGGTTCTGAATTAGCAGAAGACTCCAGGACAGGCAAGAAGTACTAAAATCTTAGTCCCAGTAGACTTTCACACTCCAAAAAAAGAGGGAGTGGGAAAGAATGCCTATCTATATATTGTTTATTCAGTAACACCTTGCAGCTGGAATGGATTGGTAGTGTGGAGCCAGGGATGAGGTGTGTTCTCAGAACTGTGTGAGGAGCCCTCCATGTTTGCCTTAATCTTTGATTACAGAGTTCCAGATTTACCTCAAGAGTGTCCTTTCATTTTTAGTAATATGTTCCAACAGAAATCATGGCTAAGCACTGGTAAAAGCAAACTGAACCTACATGCAATTACTGTGTAATTTAAAATACCAGCTTAATGTACTTCTTAACAGATATTTGATATTTCCTGGGATCAGTATCAGCCAAACAGAATCGTCAGCTGTGGAGTGAAACACATAAAGGTAAAGAGCTCTTATTGTTTACTTGCAAAAAGTGCTTGCACAAACAAAATCTGTGCTCTTACACGATGAGGGCCCTAAACACAAGACAATTTAAGCTTTTCTTTCATTACTCTGTGAACATTTTGGCAAAACTTTTTGTTTGAAGCCAGTTCAGGCATTCAGCAGTGACTGAGGTGCAGGTTCCCTGAACAAGCAAGGTGGAGAAATCCTCATTATATCCTTGTAATTTTGGTTTTCTGTGTCCTCTCCATTTCACCTAAATTGCCTGAGCCTTTAGGGGTTTCTCTCCTCAAGCATCACACAGAATCACTGAGCAGCTGTAGGATGAACTAAGTAACGTGTGAGTGGAGTGACCTCTCTTTGGCCTCTCCTTGCCAGCATTGGTAGGAACACCTGCAGAGATGAGAACTCCAGTGCCCCACTCTTTGCTCCCTCTAAGTCACCTTCTCTGGAAGTGTTTTAAATACAGACCCAGATATCTCCTAGATGTTTAGGGGAAAACATCCTCGTGCCTGTGGGAAGCTTAGAAAGGAATCCTTGTTTGCCAATATTCCCTTCGGGTTTCTATTTTTCTCCTGTCTCATCAAAAACATTTCTAACAGATGGCAATTATTTCACATGACTGGGGTGGGAAGAGCTTTAACTAGAAGTTTAGGAAACCAGTTAATATCTCTAGTTCTGGTTCCTCGTGCCCTTAAAACCACCACTGCTTTCAAACTGTGGGTGGTTTTGGCAGCAGCGATACCATCTGTTGTATTCTGCAAGCTGTTTGCCAAAACCTGTCTTTGTTTGGCACCTGTCTCCTGCTTAAAACGGCCATAATTACCCTGAGCACACATATTACCAGCACTGTAAATACATGGAGATAAAGACACGCCAAAAAAGAACAAAAAAGGCAGCATGGAGGGGAAATGACTCCGTGTTCCCCCCAGTGGGGCTCCCACAGCTGCCTGAGCTTTGTTCAGTGTGAGGCTGTGGCAACGTGGTAATGACAGCTCTAAAGCAATGGTGTCACCGGGAGAACTGGGGCTGAGGCTTGGGAATGGCACCACTTATTCCTTTGGCACGGCAGGGCTGTTGGCTCATTTGGCTGAGCAGGAATGAGGAGCTGTGGAAAGCCTTGGAGCCAAGGAATCTCCACTGGGCTCGGGATCCTCCCTCCCCCTTTCCCTGTCACCCTGCCTGCCCTCCCACCCTTCCTCTGCTGAGCAGCAGGGAGGAGAGTTTAACTTTTACTCCCCAGGGGCAGGAGTCCCTCTGCCTTCTAAACTGGCTCATGTTAAGAGGCAAAGGGAAAATTTAATTGAATTAGAAATAGAGAAGTAAAAAACATCAGTCCAAGGATTTTCTGGATTTCAACTTTATAGGAATTTTATGGCACATTTTATAAGTATGAAGAAAAATACCTAAAAATTCATCAGGCATATAAAGTAGGGATGAGATGGACATTATGCACTGTGATTCAAAAAGAAATAATAAGATATTTCTCAGCACTAAGGACAACCTTCTAAGACAAACTTTAATTTCTCTCCTCTCTTTTTCTCTTCCCCAACCAGTCTTAGACTCTTTTTTGCAGAATGTTAATGCCTTGTAGAAGCCAAGCAGGTCCCCGTTCCACACTTGGGGAACCTGTTACTCTCAGTCACAGAGTTGTTTCACGTTGGAGTGTTTCAGTCTCCCTGGAGCAGATGGTTTCTCAGTAACTGTAACTATATTTTGAGGGTCACATCTCTCTCAGTGCTCAGAGAAGGGCAGAAATGCCTGCTCCAGCACACAAGTTGTGTAAGATAAAGTACTTTGGCACTTCAGCTGTGTTTTAAGGTTTGCAGACAAGAAAAATGGGACGTTCCTGACTTTAAAAACATGCACTTGTATGGACAGCTTTTGCCAGCAACACCTGATCAAGCCAGTGGGAGAAGGGAAGGGGTGGTGTGGCAGTAGTGAGGCAGCTTTGTGCCTCACCTCCTCAACAGCTGCCTGATTTCCTTTGGGTTTGGTGTCTGCCCAGACACCGCTGTGTCAGGCTGTACATCTGAGAGCTGCACACTGCTGTGGAAACCAGAAATCCTGCCGGGACTTTTCCTAACGTGCCGTTTGCATTCCTCAGTTTTGGACGCTGTGCGGGAACGCCCTGACGGCAAAGAGGGGAATCTTTGGTAAAACGGGAGATCTCCAAACCATCCTGTGTCTGGCATGTGCCAAAGAAGATGTCACCTACTCCGGGGCTCTGAACGGGGACATCTACGTGTGGAAGGGACTGAACCTGGTGCGCACCATCCAGGGAGCACACAGTGTGAGTGGGCTTCTCGTGTCAGTTTACTTACCGATAGCTGGTAAGCAGATTACCTGGTTTTAAATAGAATTTTACCACTAAAATTCCCAGCACTGGGGACTGACTCTTCATAAGAGCTGCAGTGTGGAATAAACCTGTTGAATCTGGGAATTTGCATTCACGCCATATTCCAAAGGCAGTTTGGTCCAATTGGCTTCATAACACACCCCCAGTTTGGAGCTCTCTTAATACAGAGTGAAAGGGGAACGTATAGGATGCTGTTAGATTTCTAACCAGTCTAATATAGTAAATTTACCTCTCTGTTATTGCTGCAGTGAAGGCACAGTGGGACTGTCTTGTCTTATTTCAAATGTATTTGAGAACAGCTCCTATTTGCAATGTAACTGTGGTTAATGGCACTCTGGTGTGGTTTTTTGAACTAAAGGAAGTAAGGCTGTTTTCCTTAGAAGAGTGATATGAAATTCAGCACTTGTCACTATGGTGACCTCTCTAGAAAGAGCATTGCAAACAATGTTTTGTTCCTGACTTCCCAAAATTGTTGATGTTGCCCCTTTGCCAGGATTCAGAGAAGCTCTTCAAGTGAGATCTAAGTGTGATGGTTGTTTATAGAAGTAACCCCTAATTTATGAAAGCAGCGAGGGGTGATGAGTCTCAGTGTCAGTGGGAGGAACTTCTGTGAAATTCCACCTTATGTGCAGCTGCAATAACACAGAAATGTCTTTAGCAAACAATAACCCCCTGTAGGAGATGTGCAGAATTTTATTTAGATGCATTAGAATGATTAAATGCAATCTCTTTTGATGTAATGTGATAAATTATGGGATTTGCCATGGCTAATATGCATTCTCCTGCCCAGTTTCTAATCTCTATGTAATTAATAACTAGAAATATGACTTCATTAAGAAATTGCACAAGGCCACTTGGAATACTTTCTTCTCTCCATTGTATTAATCTTTGTGCAGTTCAACTTGTCTCTTAAGTGAGAGGTTTTCCTGACAAAATCCTGGCTCAGCAGGCGCTCCCTGAGCTATTCCAAGGTAGTCCAGCACAGTCAGCAGTCATGAGGCATTTTCAAAAATGAAGAAGAAATCCAAAGTGTGATAGAAACTTGTTTTCAACCAAGAGCATGAATTGACACTCTTTGAGTTCCTGTTGGGTTCCCAACGATGTCTGAACTGAACTCATGAGAGAATGTCTCGGTCAACTCTGCTCCTGTAAGAACACTGTACTGCTCCTTTGCTTGGTTTGGTTTATTCTGGGGAACTCATTTTAAGTGTACCATTTTTTATTTCATTGTCCTTGGCATAATGTTAACTACACCAAAGTTGGAGTTCTGCAAACAGGCCATGGCACTGCTGCTGGCCCAAAGCTTTCTGCAGAAACCACTGAAGTGGAGCACTTGAAATAAAAGCTGTGTGTGCTGCTGTGCTTTGGGGACAGACAACACCCTGCTGCCCAGCAGCTTCTGGCCTTTAACAAGAGTCTGTTCCAAAAGAATTGCTCTGTGTGTTTCAGTGGGTTGTAAAGGCCTTTAAGACTTGTTATCCATCGGTTGACAGGCTGGAATTTTTAGTATGTATGCTTGTGAGGAAGGCTTTGCCACCGGAGGGAGAGACGGCTGCATTCGGCTGTGGGACACCGAGTTCAAACCAATTACCAAAATTGATCTCAGGGAGACTGAACAAGGGTACAAAGGTAATGAGCTGTTCCTTTAATAGCTTTTACACATCTGGCTAATGGATTATGACACACTGAATGTGAAGCATAAATGTCTCTGCATGCTGCTGATTTTTTTGCTTAATGACTGTGTGTGTTTTTGGATCTGTATCCCCCTTTGTCTCTGACAACGCTGTAGCCTGAGGAGTTTTCTGTGGTTCATGGTATAAACAGAGGGATGCTCCCCACCATGCAAATGCAGGAAGATAAGTAAAAGCTAATTAAACACCTAAAGATAAGAGAATGGAGTTAGGTAACCCTTGATTAATTAATTAATTACAATTCATTTGACTAATTGAGATTTCTGGAACCCGACTCTCAAAGATGCTGAGTGACCATCTGAACACTCCAGTAGTGCATTTGGAATGGTAGCACTTGGCAGATTTGTGAGAGAGAATGTTATTAAATTGGTGATCATCATATTTGTTGACTGTAATGCTGCTTCCTCTGAGCTTACTCATCAATTTATGAGTGGGCTCCCAGAGCACTCGCAGTCTCCAGGGATCCCAGGAACTTTGCCTCCCTGCAGTGCTCACCCATGGAATTGAACCTCACAAAGGTGCCCAGCACACCCAACCAGGAGCCCCTTTGCTCTGCAGTCATGGCTTTATGTGGCTTTCTGCAGCCAAAGCAATAACGTTTACCATGAATCTTCTGGAAACCAGTAACGGTTCCTGTTAAATGACCATTTACAGCAGCTTTGTAATTCTTCCTAAAATTTGTGGAGAAATAATTGACTGTAGTTCTACTGACGGTGAATCCTCATCAGACGTGCCATGGAGTCATTCTGACTTGATGTCCTGATTTCTGCCATCTCCTAAATGCTCCAGGGCACAGAACATGTTGAGGAGAGGAGCTGAGCAGAACCAGGCACTGCAGCAGCACCTGTAGGGCTGAGACAGGCAGGAGAGGTTTTTCCCATCTGGCAAAAGCAATAACAATTTTCATTTGTGGAAAGTGAATTGAGCTGCCCTTTGGACTTATATAAAAATTAGAACAGTTTTTAAAAATTGAGAAGTTAATTGATTTCTAAAAACTCAAACTAGAATACTGTTTTTACAGCATTAAAATTCTTCAGGTTTATGTTTGTCATTAAAAAAAGCCCAGCATTTACAACAGTGCCTACTTTAATGGTTCAAGAAACTGCCTTAAGCAAGTCTGCAGAATTTTGTCCAAGCTTAGCCAAAGATGATGTGCCCATAGGGATAATCACTGGCACTAAGGAAAAGGACATCTGTGAAAAATGTGGTGGGGCTGCTGCTCTGACTGCAGCTATAAAAAATGAGGACCTTGGGGGTGACTGCAGGTCATGAAATCCAAGCCTGACTTACACCCTGTCACCATCATTTGAAGGAAGCCCTTTTTTACCCCCTGGATTTACTGTTCCTCAGTCATCCTGCACTGAAGGGCACTGAACACTTCTAAATGAGATGCAGCAGCAGCAACAATCTGATCACAGGCTTGGCTCTGTACTGAAATGTAGAGGTGTATGAGTAACAAACCCTGATAACAGCTAATCTCTGTGTGCAGGGTGTCCCAGAGGACATTGCCTTTCCCACATCCAAAGGTGTGCTTTGTGTTCTCAAACTTATCAATGCCCGCTTTCCATTTATTGTCTGGATTCCATCCCTTGTGTGCTCACTGGTGTGTATCAAGGATGGGAGTCAGAACTTCTGGGTGAATGTAGCTAGGTCACACAGGGACATTATCAAAATTAAAAGCTACTGGAGATGGACAAGAAATTAAATGAAGATGAATTTGACCTTCTCGGGAGATGAGAATATTTTATTTATGTGGCCAGTCGGTAATTATATTAAGTATTTGGTTCCAAAAGTATGTTAAAATGATGGTCTGGCTGACCTTGAGTACATGACAAATGGATTTTTTTATTCATTCCCATCTCACAACATCTAGACCCATTACCCAAACTGGAATTTTCATGTCCTGGAACAGAAAACACAAGCACTGCAAGCAGTTGGCCAGCCAATGCCACCAAATGGCTCAACCTGCTGGTGGTTACTGAAATTCCAGCCCCAGAGTCAGGGTCAGATTTGTGGAGTGAGGTCAAGCTCTCTGAAAGTTACCCAAAGCCAAATTCTCTTGGTTTGGAGTTTGGGAGGGAGGATGTTTTGTTTGTTTGCAATAATCCCTTGTGACTGAAGTGGGTAAGTGTAAGCACAGCCTGTGTCCCGGCAGGTCTGTCCATCCGCAGCGTGTGCTGGAAGGCTGACAGGCTGCTGGCAGGCACTCAGGACAGCGAGATCTTCGAGGTGCTGGTGAGAGAGAGAGACAAGCCCATGCTGATCATGCAGGGGCACTGTGAGGGGGAGCTCTGGGCCCTGGCAGTGCACCCCAAGAAGCCCTTGGCAGTCACGGGCAGCGATGACCGATCCGTACGGTAAGGATGGGGCTCTTTATTTCTTATCATTCACGTGCACAGTCGTTTGTAGTTGATTTATTTTCTGCTCTTCTATTAAGAAAAATTTGTTTCCCCTCTATTTTTCTTAGCACCTTTGCTTATTCTCTTCAGCCTTCATATTTGGGCTCCACACATCATGTAAAAATAATCAGAATTTGCGTTCAAAACGTACTGAGTTTCTGTACTCTGCTGGAAGTGCTGATGCACTGCTGTTGCTACATCAGGTGTGGGGATCTCAATGGAGTATGATCCCTTTGTATTTCTCTTCTGCTAATGATGTGTAACAAGCCCAAAGCCTAAATGCCTTGGTGGTTCTTCCTGAGCCTGCTATCCTTATTTCCAGCTCCTCCATCGGGTGTCTCTCCAGACCCTTTGCCAGATGAATGGTCACTGCTTTTTGTCTTCTACAGATGATTTGATTGCAGATATTTAAATCAAGCCCAGGCAGTTACCAAAGAGATGTTCAGTTTTTGTGGACTACCAATCAACTTGTTTCAGAAACATCCCTGTGGGTTCTACCCTTTGGCCGTATTTCAGTGGCAAAACTCAGTCTCTTACCATGCATCCACTCCTCAGTAATGCTCCTTCAGGTTCCACGTGATCTCTCTCCTGGGCCTCGAGGCTTGCTGCTCAGCTGGCATTGCTTTCCCTTTCTTTTCTATCTTTTCACTTGTACTGGTTTCCCATTCCTGCCATCCCCCATCACTTTCTCAGCACAGTTAAAATCCAGAGCGTGAGCCTGAAGAACTGCCGGTTGTTCACTGCAGTCACGTTTTCTGCCTGGTTCCTACTCAAGTGCTGTTTCTTTGGGTGTCTGAAGTGCATGACTGGTCCCCTGTGCCTGGGTGTGTGTGCCCAGTGTCACAGCCAGGCCCAGGTGCAGCCTGGCAGGGTGCAGGCCCGTTCTGAGGGAGCAGCAGCAAAGCTGGGATTAGGATTGCACTGCCCTCGAGCCAATAAGCCACCCTCAGACTGGATGTCTTGTCTTGGCTCATCTCGTGGTGAGCTGAGGGATCCAGCCCTGGCCTGGAGCGGCACAAGGCGCTGCTGACTCAGAGCAGGCCTGACCCAGCTCCTGCCCCTCCAGGAGGCACTGCAGGATCTCTGTGCACATCAACCTCAATTAGTGCTGCTCTTATGGCTCTGATCACTGGGGTAGCAGTTATGATACCCCTGGTGCCTTTGGACATTGCCATTCCCTAAATGTGCAGGGATTTTCCTGCCCTTTGAGCTGTTCAGCCACTGCAGAACATGGCATTTGGATCCCAGTTCAGGCAGTGGGAGTTTTTTAAATACTGTGTCTTCATTGAGGAATTCCAGTGAAATATGCAAATAAAAATGTACACAGAAGGATTTTCTTCTGATTTTCTTTTCAATACTAAAATTGCATTGGCAGGAGTGTTTCTGTATTGATGTTCACTGGGTAATTTTTCTTAGTATTTGATTATCACATCATTTTGAGAAGAGTGAGTGTATAATATAAATCTAAATTGTTGTAGAAAGTATTCAGTGAGTCAGGTGGTATTCTCATGTCTGAGATGTCCTATAGAGAAAGGGTTACTGCAGATTTTCCCAGCCCAGCTGAGAGAAGGCTCTAGCCAGATACAGGTTTCCAACATTTTAAACTCCCAAAGCAAAGCATACCAAGTAGAAAAGCTGCCTGCTTCCTGTCTGGTACCACAGGAACAGGGAAAAAATACCACCGTCTGAAGGCACCCAGAATTATTAATTCCATTTACTCAAAGCACCTCACACTTGTCTTGGTGTGACAGAGAACGTCTGGCTGTATGTGTACAAAAGGCTCTTCTTTGCTGTTATAAAAGTAAAAAACTCCTATCTGAAATTCTATTAATTCAAAAAGTTGTAGTATTTTTTAAAGAAAATTGAATTATCCTGCTTGCGTTGCCATATATTGCAATTACTCTTCTAGTGTATTGGACGAAGTGATTGCTGTGAAAGAGTTTGGAGGCAGATTTTATCCTGGTGTTTCCTTCAGAATCTTTCCTGTGTCACTGGTTGAGCCACTGCAGCTTTGCCTTGCTCTGGTGCAGGTTGTGGAGCCTGGCTGACCACGCCCTGATAGCTCGCTGTAACATGGAGGAGGCCGTGAGGAGCGTGTCCTTCAGCCCTGACGGATCCCAGCTCGCACTGGGAATGAAGGATGGCTCCTTCATTGTCCTCAGAGTGAGGTGAGAGGGGAAAACCACTGGGGGAAAGGGACACAAACTGGGAGAACACAATGTGGAGAGGGGTCTCCTGGACCATACGGGTCACTCCCTGTCAGACACGTTCCAGGCAAAACACTTGGGAATTCAAAGGCTTTTGGAAGCATTTTCAAGATACATATGAATAGAATGAAACAACCTACCCCCCAGATGTCAAAACACATAGCCTGCTTTAATTGATACTTGGAAGAGGTTCCCCCTTTCTTTACCATCACTCCATGTGTTAGTTAAGCATATATTTAATATAATAACAATACTTGGAACTACTGGCTGATAGGAGGGAAAATCCTGTGCAAACCCCTGTAATGCTCTAACGACTAACAAAACTCATACCAATTTAACAGCCTTTCCAACCACTGGCCTTTTTCTGAAGAAGTTCATCTCTGTCTCCCAGTAATCTTGGCTGTGCTAATTTTCCCGATGCCCCCTAGAAATCTGTCTTGGGTGGGGAAGGATTGTCCTGTCAGGGCTCTGGCAGGGTTTCCAAGGTCTCCTGGGTTCCCATGGCCGCGGTGCTCGCAGGGACATGACGGAGGTGGTTCACATCAAGGACAGGAAGGAGGTGATCCACGAGATGAAGTTCTCCCCGGACGGCTCCTACCTGGCCGTGGGCTCCAACGACGGCCCCGTCGACATCTACGCCGTGGCCCAGAGATACAAAAAAATCGGGGAGTGCAACAAATCCTCCAGCTTCATCACCCACCTCGACTGGTCTGTGGACAGCAAATTCCTGCAGACCAACGACGGGGCCGGGGAGAGGCTCTTCTACAAGATGCCGTGTGAGTCTGGGGGGCTCCTGGGGTGGACAGCTGGAACTGGGGGGGGATTGGAGGAGAACACCCCAAATCCAAGGTAAACAATGCACCTGCAAGCAGAGCTGTTGGGCTGGAGCTCACAGAAATACCTGCTGCTGGTTTTCCAGAGCGGCAGTCACAGGACAAACCCACCTTCAGCTCCAAGGAAACGCTGTCCGTGCATTTGCTGCTGCAGCAGCTCTGTGGTTTGACATGGGACCTGTGAGAGGTTGGCTCACTTTTGGGGAACCACCAAAGCACCTCTGTCCCTCTTGTGCTTCCTTCAAGTGATGGACTGTTCCTGTGTTAGTGATTAGAATGGTTTTAGGAGTGTAATAATTAAAATCAGGAGAACTGTTTGAGTTCTCAGTGTTACAGCTTGTTAATAGAAACAGTACTGATAAGTAATGGATTTATTCTTATTCTTACTTAAGAATGCTTTCTGATGTTTAGAAGAAACTGTTGCAGAACAGAGAAGAGCTTTAGGAATAAGATTTGGGCTAATTTGGCAGCCTTCAGTCAACTATAAAACAACCTCTGTAAATGAAAAGTACCATGACTGACTGACCAGATACTCAGATTTCAGGGGCTCAAGATGATCAGGGCAGCAGATTCCTACAAACACATGTGGCATGATTTAAAAATTTGTGTTATTAATCTTCTAGCACTTGAAAATGTCCTAGAGAGTCGTGTTACGTTTGTGTACTTTCTACTGAAGACATTTCTTTGTTAGAAGTGATGTGGAATTATTAAGTTTTTCCACTTTGTAGGTTTTTAACATGCTGATTCCAATTAGCATATAATTCTCAGTAGTATGGTAATTAATTCTGATACAGCTGAATTAGAACTCCTAAGGTTTGTGATGGCCTCAAACACCACAAATGTGAGATTATAGTAATTTAAAGAAGATTGTGAATTCTTTTAATTGAGGTTAAAAATTCATCCCAGTCAGAATACACAGATAAATCTGGTGAAAAGAAACAGAACTTACTGCAAAGCAAATTCCTCACTTGCACATTTTCAGCTGGGAAGCATCTCACCAGCAAAGATGAGATCAAGGGAATCCACTGGGCCTCGTGGACCTGTGTGATGGGATCTGAAGTGAGTGGGATTTGGCCAAAGTACACAAACGTTACGGATGTCAACTCTGTGGATGGAAATTACAGCAGCTCGGTGCTGGTGACTGGAGATGATTTTGGGCTGGTGAAGTTATTCAGATTTCCGTGCCTGAAGAAAGGTAGGACAGTGTTTTGTGTTGCTGACAAATACACTGATATGTTTTGAAGGTAAATATTGCATTTTCTGATGGTGGCTTTTCATTCTTATCTGTAATTCAAATGAGCATTTGCACCATGTGTGTCATTATTAATGGATATGAAGATGAGACTTGAACCTCTCAGTCTGAGCAATTTCCTGCCCATACAGGGCACGTGCCTGGTTTTAGACCTGTTGAGAAGGTGGCTGTCTCCTCAGGGTTTGCACTGCACCCAGCATAAAGCCAACAATCAATAAAACAACCTTTCGGCTTTCTGTCATCTTCAGTGTTTCATTTGACATCACATCGGTGGATTTTCAAAATTTCTGTTTATAGGACAAGATGTAACGTGTAGAGTTCACACTGGCAGTCATGGCAACAAAGGGGAAATTAAACCCTGTGTGTTTTAATTCCTGCCAAGATCTAAGTACTTTCTGAAAACAGAAGATATTGTTCATATAATTTTATGTCACTTATTTTTACATTACAATTACTTTTGTGGCAGAATATCAAATGAGGCATTGGGGTTTTGTTTTTCAGTTCTCACAAGTGTCTTCAGACTGTGTTTCCCTTAGAAGCCCAACTCTATTAGTTATGTTAACTCTTTTCTTCTTCCATGCCAGCAGTTCTCTTGTTGTTTTTTAGGAGCTAAATTCAGGAAGTATGTTGGCCACTCAGCACATGTCACCAATGTCCGCTGGTCCCATGATTTCCAGTGGGTGTTGAGCACAGGAGGTGCTGATCACTCTGTTTTCCAGTGGCGCTTTATTCCAGAAGGGATGACAAATGGCATCCTGGAAGCCTCTCCACAAGGTAAACGTGGACTCTGCTCAAGTATTTATCACATAAAATCAACACAGAATGCAGCACTGTGAAAAAGCTTTTACTGAATCAACAGAAAATATTTGGGTTGTAATGCTCTGGAATTGCAGATGCTCAGGATGTTTGGGCAATGGACTTTTCAAAGACAGTCGTTGATTTGAGGCAAGGGGCATTAAAAACTGCTGCAGTTAAAAAGCACACAGTATTGTGTGTGTGGGATACACAAGTAGTATTCATCAAAGTATGGAAAAGAGGACATTTAAAGGGACCAGATAATTAAATTTTCAAGCTTAGCCACGTAACTTGCATTCGAAACTCTGGCTACCTGTGTTGAATCATCTCATTTGATTTTGCAGTGCAATCTCACATATTTATGTGGTAGTTGTACTTTAGATTTTTTCTTGTTTTATTCTTGATACTTATAAACTCCCAAAACCATATGAACTACATAGTGACAGTTGCTAAAATCCGGATTCCCTGCAGCAAAAAGGCAAAGTTTCACTCCATAAATGCACAGTTTGGTAAAATACCCTGTTACAGCAGTTGTTTCAAACACAAGGAGTGATCACTGCGAGCTTTAGTTTGCCATTTCTGTGTGATTGCACTCCAGAGCCTGTTAAGACAGCAGAATTGTCTCACACTGGAGCTCTACCAGTGACTGCTCCGTGACTGTGCTCCCCTCTGCCTCCTTCCTGCCCCAGGCAGGGAACCAGGAGAGACAGGGATGAGAGCCGGCACTTCCAGGCAGCCCCTGGGATTTTAAGGAGCTGCCTCAGCCTCCAAAGCTCCTGAGTGGTGCTTATGGGCCCAGAGTGTAGGTGCTATCCAAACACCTGATCCCCTTTCCTTGGCATTCCATGCGTTCAGTGTGGTGCTTTTGGTTTTGAAGCAGAGGGTGGTGTGGATTCCTACAGCGAGGAGTCAGACTCGGATTTATCCGACGTGCCGGAGCTGGATTCCGACATCGAGCAGGAAGCTCAGATCAACTACGATCGCCAGGTGGGTGTGAAGGAACCCGCTCTGCACTCACCTGGCGCTTGTACTGACTGTTCACTACAGTTTACTGCTGAGTCATCACACCAGTGTAGGTGGAGCTCAGCAGGTTGTACAGCCAATATTCATAAACCCAGAGCTCACTTCAGCTGGGGGGAGAATTTCAAAGGCTTTGCAGAGAAGAATTGCAAAGGGTTTTGGGGGTTGGAACTAGATGATCTTTAAGGCCCCTTCCAACCCAAACCGTTCTGTGACTTTGGCCTCTCTTTGCAATTCATTGGAACCTGGTTTTCAGGAGCTGTTGTCATTGTGAATCAACCATCCCCTGTCACCTTGTACTACAGTGGTGAAAGGTCAGGAATTCCTCAGAGCAGGACCGGGGCCTTGTAAGAAATGCAGGAAATGCAAACTAAGCTTGGTTCAGGTTGGTTTGAGGGATTGAGTGGCTGACATGGGGCTACTCTCTAGAATATGGAAAATTCACCCATAATGTGCCATGCTTTAGCCAAAGGCACCCTTTGTCTTGTCACGTCCCTTTCTGGGTTCTGCAATAAATTACACAGGCCCTCCTGCCAACTGCTTCTTTTGCCTCTTTATTGCAGAGATCAATCACATTTGGCAAATGAAACAGAGGCTTTTGTCACAGCTTCTCCTTCCCCTCTCCTTTACTCCCAAGTCTCACTGCAGTGCTTGTCCCATCCTCCTCCTCCCCTCCTCCTCCTCCTGGTTTTTCCATCTGTATTCCAAATCAAGCGGCGTCCTCCTCCACGCTGTCTGTGTGTCAAGAGGGACGTCTGGGTTTCCAAACTAAAAGTGAAGAGGTAGTTGTAGGCAGTTAAACAGCAGCGTTCCAGGCAGGTTAATGCATGGAAAAACCAGAAGCAACTTAAAATAGCATCTCATATAGGAAGTGTGAGACAGCCCCGAGCAGAAGCTGCACTTGGCATTTTGGTAAAGGAAATAATTGATGTGGAAACAAGCCCATTAATCTTATATTGGGAATTGGGGTTTGGATTGGGTGTTTTTAATGTTGTGGCTGAAACACATAAAGGATTCTAGATTTCAAGATGCATCAGAAAATGATACTCCTGTTTTGTGTTGCACCGAGGAGCAAGAGCAGATAGGTGAGAACATTCCAGACAAAGTACATACCATGTGCTCGGGCTCTGTGTGCCTGCCATTTCAAAAGCTTGGTTTGCTCTGTGAACACCTTTCTTCCAAAAATCCACACTTTAAGACTTCAGTCAGTATTTACATTCCTTTTTCACTAACAAACACTGGAATCTTCTAGAAAAAAATGCCCTGCTGCTGTTCTGGGCCCCTCAGGTGAGGGGAGTTCAGCATCCAGGAGAAGGGTGGGAGCAGTGTTGTAACTAATGAACAGCACATCAGCACATACTGAATTTCATATGTGAAACAAAGGGCCCTTCACTCATATATACAGTTAGAAAAGCAGAGCTGTGCAGTTACCTTGAACTCTTCTGCAGGTTTACAAAGAAGACCTACCTCAGCTGAAACAGCAGAGCAAGGAGAAGAACCACGCCGTGCCCTTCCTCAAGCGAGAGCGAGCGCCCGAGGACAGCCTGAAGCTGCAGTTTATCCATGGGTAGGGTGATACTGGGTCATGGGTTCATGGCTGAGGGGGTCACGGTGCAGAGCATTAGCCAAGCGTTTTCTGCTGCTTACCCACAGTAATTTGTTTGTTGCTATTACCAGGGCTAGTTTTTAGAATATCAGATGTGCATTTTCTTTTCTCAGCTGTATTTCAGGGCCTGGCTGGACGGGGCTCTGAGCAACCTGGGCTGGTGGGAGGTGTCCCTGCCCATGTCAGGGGTTGGGACTGAGTGGGCTTTGAGGTCTCTCCAACCCAAACCATTCTATGATCCCATTGTTAAGGAGCAAGGGAAGGTTACGATACTGTAGCCATTGATAAATGATACAGCAGTGTTGCATTTTGTAACATCACATTTTGCACTGCCTGTTCTCTACACCTGATGTCTCCTGGAGCAAAGTTAAGTTGTTTGTTGTAGCTGTGACTTGTTAAAATACCTGATAGATTTCTGCTTGAATCCTGTTCTCTGTAAAGCTTACCTGGACACAGTCCTATGTGCTTTTGTGAAACCAGTGCTAATCTAGGCATTAGGTGCAAAATAAACCAGGAGAAGCCTCAAGAATGGAATAGTCTGTGGGGATAGTGTGTGGTGCTTTTGAGCTGAAGCTGACCCCGCAGGACTCCTGTGCTGTCAGTGCACAAACGATTGGCAGAGTTTGTTCCCCGAATGACCAGGGTTTAATTGCCGTGTGCTGGCTGCAGTTACAGGGGCTATGACTGCAGGAACAACCTGTTCTACACGCAGACAGGGGAGGTGGTTTATCACATCGCCGCCGTGGCCGTCGTGTACAACCGGCAGCAACACTCACAGAGGCTCTACCTGGGCCACGACGATGACATCCTCAGCCTCAGCATCCACCCCGTCAAGGACTATGTGGCCACGGGGCAGGTGGGGCTTACAGCTACAGAAATAATGCATTTACAATTAGGAAAAATGTTTACCTCTCTGTTTCCTTAAGTCTGCTGTTTCCTCCTGTGTGTGTTTGCTGTATCCCTGCCGAGCCAAAGATGGTCTGTGCCTGAGCAGGGTTTGCACTTTCATTAGAGTCACTCACAGTGTTTTTGTCCTGTAGTAGCTTTCTAAAGCTCACTGAAAAGCTGTTCTGTGTTGGACACCACTGATGTCTGGTACTGAATATGATATATTCAGTGTGCTCATATGCATTCATACATCAGGATCATTTATCCCATGAATGTGATGCTGAATAATGTCATTTTAGAGACCATCCACTGATATTTCTCTGAAAGGGAAAATAGATCTTGAAAAAGATAAAACAGGGCAAGTGGGAAAGTGCTTTGAAGATGTGGTAGTGCTTCTTACCTATGTGGGCAGATGTTCCAATGAAACCTCTGATTTAGGTTGGAAGGGATGCTGCTATCCACGTTTGGGACACCCAGACACTGAAATGTTTGTCCCTGCTCAAAGGCCAGCACCAGAGAGGAGTGTGTGCACTGGATTTCTCAGGTGAGCCACAACCCACATTTATCTAAATGGTTAATTAAAAAGCAACCCTTGAGATGAAATGTTAATTCAAATAACTGTAAAATTACATCCAGTACCAGCTTCACATGGAAGTTGCTGTCTGTTTGGATAAAAATAGTGTGGGTGGTAAAGTCAGTCTGTCAATAATTGATGTTGGTGGTGTCTAATAGATAATACCAAGTTTACAGCTGGATTTCTGGTGACTGTCTACACAGTGGTGTAAGAATTTAAAAGCAGGCAGGATGGTGACTCAAAGGGTATCAACAAGTTGGAAGTGTCATCTCTGGGCTCATACAACTCTTCACATTTGCTAACAATTCCCACATTTTTCAGTGAGTTTACAGAAGAATTAAATGTGACAAACAGAAATATGAAAGCTCTTTTGAAATGTAGTGAGCACTCAACTTGCAGTGTGGCTTTAGGAGCTGATCCCAAGAGTAATGCACAGACTGCATTCCTGGCTGGCTCTGCTTTGTGTTCTTGGTACAGACAGGGGGGACAGTTGTGCAGATATGCACCTGTCTGTGGGCTCACGGGGCTGCCCTGCTCTTGTGCAGGGGTTTTCACCCTATTAATAACAGGTATTTCAAGATTAGATCCAAGTCACACTCCTTGAAGCTTCAAGAAAGCAGCCCAAGCTCCCCCCTTGTCTGGCTGTGGCTGCAGTGGCAGCTGACTCTGAACCCCCCTCTGCTGCCCTCTGCCCGTCTGAACACCTGCCAGGGGCCAGTGCTGAGGGCAGGGCACGGCCCCTCCTGGGGACCCTCCTGGGGCAGTGGCGTTCCAAGAGCAGAACGTCATTCCTGCAGCGTTTGGCTGTGCCCTCTGGTGGCTGATTCAGCCTCCACACCTGGGATGCTGATGGGGTGTACAGTCCATGTGAGTGCATAAACCCTCCTGCTCCGAGTGAAGAAATATTTCAGTTGTTGTGCTGTTTGGGTTTGCTTTTGTAATAAGCTCAGTTTTGGTTTCCTGCCCTGTTTTTCTACTTCATTCCTTCCTGCCTGCTTCACTGCTTCCATCTGGGCTTGTTTCATTCAACTGTGAATTCTCTTCCTCATGCTGAAATTCCCCTTTTCCTTCTTGGCTTCTGTGAGAAGCACCATTCCCAAATCAGTGTTCTCCTTCAGCCTTGGAGCCTCTACCCAGCTCTGCTCTCTCCAGCTTTAACTTTTCCTCAGTTAAACAACTAAGCAAATAATCAGCTGCTGCTGCATCCTGTAAAGTTCACTTGTCTAGTCATGTACTGCAACAATTGCAACTTAGTTTTTTTAATTTGCCAGACTTTCAGGACAGAAGTTTGTCTCTAAAAGTTTGTTAACAATGGTGGTGTTTGTTGTTATTTCATGCCTGAGTACTGTTGAATTATGTATTTTTCTTCCCTTGGTTATCAGTAGTGCTGTGTCTTTCCTGCAGTGAAAGAGAAGAGCCAGCAGTTATTTTTAGCCCTAATATTTTCTATCATATTTATAGTTTCATCACATTGCCTATGAAAATTTAACCACTCATTTCATACTCTAATAATTCTTTTCACCATTTTGAGCAAAAGAAAAGAGGCATCATCTGATTAGAAATATTTCCTTTAAATGTCATGTGAATTTAGAGTACTTGGGCTTTATGAACTTGGCTGTCATTGTTTTGTTTGATCCTTCCTACCTCCCTTGTGCTGACACAAGGAATGGTTTGTGTCTGCTTTTGAGAAGGATCAATGGTTTCCTAAGGAATATGTCAGGGAATCTGAACTGCAGTCCCTCCAACTCTTAGTTCTGGGGGTTTTGCTTTATAATACATCACTAGAAATTCAGTTTGCAGTGTCACTGTGTTCATTGCCTGCTCCATTCCCAGAGCCTCAGCACCTTTAACACAAGTATTGCTTCTGTGCAGCTGATGGGAAGTGTTTGGCCTCTGTTGGGCTGGATGACAATCATGCCATTGTGTTCTGGGACTGGAAGAAAGGGGAAAAGCTGGCAACAACCAGGTGAGAATACATGGGCTATAAATGTCCCCTCTGCTTCCTTTCTTCTGAGTGGCATCATCCACATCTTTCCTGTAAACAAAGGGATAAACCACAACTCCCTCTGCAAGCAGAATGGTCCTTCAGAGCAACACCCCAGTTAAAACCCTTGGGGTCTGCAGCTCCCTGTTTGGAAATCCTGGGAACCAGTTCTGTCAGGAGTTCCCTGGCCTTTCTGTTAGGATAGCCATGTTGGTATGGAGCTCATTTAAGGACTTGGAAGTGAGTTATGTTTTAGAATATGTTATATTTTCTCCCAGTTTTATGTCCTGACTCAGAGCAGAGGTCATCAGAGGTGTCACTTCCTTTATGCATCGGATGACATGCTGGGTTCCACCAATGTACACAACCAGATCACTTCTCTAAAAAGCATTGCCTCTAATAGAGATTTTTCAAGGACTGCTGATCCTGCCTTTCCTCTGAGTCAGCTTTTCCTGAGCTGTTTGCTCACTGAAAGCTCAGCCAATGACCCCGCAGCGAAGAATCATTTGCAATTCCTTGGAAGGACCAGTGTTGGGAAGAGAATTGGTTTAAAGCTTGCATGTTTGCCTTTTTATTCTCAAATATTGAATTGCAGTAATAGTATTAGGTTGTAGAAGAGTGAAACTGTTTGAGAAACTGGTGTCTGTCTTACCCTTGCACAAAGCAAAGGTCCCTGGGAGGTCGGTGGCCAGAACTGAGCAGAATTCCTGTAAGCAATACCAGTAGGTCCACTGGGTGCACCCAGAATTCCTGTAAGGAATTCTGGGTGCACCCAGTGGACCTACTGGTATTGCTAAGCTGGTGGTTGGGAAATAGGCAGAGACCTCAAAAAGAGCAGAAAAATTAATTTATAAATACATACCTCAACAAGCATGACTTTCAGTACCAGAGAACCGAACCTGAAGGTGTCTTTGCTGCTGAATGAACTGTTTCTGAAATTATAATTTTGTAATCTGTTATTTTATTTTTTCAGCCTGAAGCACAGGAGATTAAACACTCCCTCATTTTTCTTGTCAGAGTATTTTTTTCGTATTTATTAGTTGAGTTCTCATCCATTTAAATATTTATGTTGACCTTTAAGCCTTCTCCTAATTGCCTTGCCCTTTGTTTCCTGCTTCTTCATTATGACTTAAATGAACTGAAATCCAGTGGGAGACAGATTTTATTCCCCACGTTTCTGGACTCTAATTCCCCTGTGGTTTATGGTCAAATTCATCCTGCCACCTCTGTGGGGCAACACTGCAGGGCTAAGCCCTTGCAGATTACAAATATGGCTCTGTGCTTTTTGTTGGATGGGGAAATGATTTACAGTAATGATTTAATGAGTTGGAAATGTTAAGTCATCCCTTGCCATGTTTTTTCTAATTTTTATCTTTATTGCAGGGGCCATAAAGATAAAATCTTTGTAGTGAAGTGTAATCCACATCATGTCGACAAACTGGTCACCGTTGGGATGAAGCACATCAAGTTTTGGCAGCAAACAGGTACTGCTTTGGGTATTTTATGGATAATTTATATAGGAATGTGTATATTTTTAATGCAGGAACACCATGTTCTCACTTTGACACTTTGTTTGTGAAGCAATTTTCCAGTTACCAAAGTCTTGAAGGGGTGAAAAGGATTTCCAGGTAATTGTGTTTAAAGTCTAATGGCACTGTTAAGGAATTCTCCTGAGCAAAGCATCCTTGGCTCCCTGAAAACTTGCAGCCCTGTAACTTAGACACATGATGGCCCTCACTGGGAAAACTTGGCAGAGCTTGTGTTTTATCCAGGAGGCTAAAAATCATGATATGGTATCACAAGAGTCAAGATATCAAGGTAGTATATTCCTTGTACAACACAAGAGTTTTCTAAATAATGTAAAATAAAAATGTCTTTTCCAGTATTTAAAACCAGGATAAGATTCTGCAAACAACTAAGGGAAATATTCAGGCTGTTCTGTCAGAGTGAGAAAGGCCAGAGGGTTGGGTTCTGATTGAGGGTATTTTTAATTCAGGGCTGGATGTTTCAGTCTTCATTAGGAGTTTTTCACACTTTTCATTGTGCACACATGGCACGAGTACTCGGTATAGAGATCTCGGGGAGCATCTTCTGTGTGTCAAACTCAGCACAAGGGCAGCTGAAAATAGAACTGCAGAGAGCTCCAAAGGAGAGATTCACGAACTCCCCACACTTGTACCACGCTTCAAGCGTTTGAGTGGCTCGACTGCTCTCCCATTAAAAATGAACACCCTGGAAGTGCAGGTTATTTCTGAGGTAATTAGGTAGGCTTGCATTGCTGTGTGCCAGGTCCCATGGCAGGAATGTGCACCAAGCAGTGTCTCACTCCAGGAACAGTCTGCCTGCAATCCACGTGTGTGTTTGGAGTGGAGATTTCTCAGTGCAGTGGGGGCTCGGTCTGGTGTGAACTGTGAAGGGCACGTGACACCAAGCCACCACTGCAGAAGGGATGTTGTGACTGGACGTGTGGTTTTGGCAAAAACTATTCTGCCAGCCATTGTATTAGTTCTTTTTGCATCGTTCCTCCCCAGATTTATCACTTGCTTGGAAAGACAATCTGAAAACGAGCCTGTGCTGCTGCAGAGCTGTCGTTACTGGGCTGACTGTGATTGTGCTTTTGCCGTGTGATTTCAGTGTTTCCATTACCTGCTGTGCCTCAGGCAGCCCCAGGAGATGATGGGGGGAGATGTTTGTCCCTTACCAACCCAAGCAGAGAGAGCCTTCTGTGTGTGTTGCAGGTGGAGGCTTTACCTCCAAGCGAGGCACGTTCGGCACTGCTGGGAAGCTGGAAACGATGATGAGCGTCTCCTACGGGAGAATAGAGGACCTGGTTTTCTCTGGAGCTGCCACTGGAGACATTTACATCTGGAAGGAGACCCTGCTGCTGAGGACAGTGAAAGCCCATGATGGGCCTGTGTTTGCCATGCATGCACTGGATAAGGTATGTGCTACATCCCTTCAGTTGCATCAGGACATCTTCCGAAGAAACGATGGCAAAATGTCCTATTGGCATCACACAAATGAGTTCAGGACCAAGTTTTGCCACTGGCAGTTTGCAGGTGTTGCTAAGGGAATATCCTTTCTGAGATTATAGTTTCCACTGTAGAACTGCAGCATGAGGAAAATGTTAGCTATTAACATTTTTGTACATCAAGGTCAATTAAGATCCCTGTGACTCAATCCTTTCTGGCCCTAATTGATTGTTCCTAGCTTTTCCATCAATTTTTCCCTTTGATCTTAGCACTGAACATCCTCTTCACTTACTCTTTTGTTGGTTAGTTATTTGTGCTGTTTTACATTCACTTGGCACAGACAACCTACCAAGGGAGTTAATCGAAGAATTGGTCCCTACTGCATTATTAGAGCTCAGGTTGAGGCATCTGTCAAGTCCCTGGAATTGGGAATAACTTGAGAACCTATTATTCCAGCTACTGCCTCTTCTAATGATAAAATCCCTATTTTTCCATAGTTTATCAAACATCAAGGTCCAGCATTACTGCTTACAACAGCATGTACTCTGTGTGCCTTTAAATCTTTATAACTAGAAAAGCAGCTCAAAATCTTGCCCCCCTGTATTTTTTTTCTCTCCTAGGTACAGACTCCAGTATTTTTAGCTTCACACATGAATAAAAGGCAGGGGAGACTTTCCTCTGCCTTTGGACATGTTTTTAATCTCACCACATGAATGCTGACATTTGTGTGTGCTTTCCCTCTGTGACTGCGCAGGGCTTTGTGACTGGTGGAAAGGACGGGATCGTGGCCCTGTGGGATGATATGTTTGAGAGGTGTCTGAAGACATATGCCATCAAAAGGGCAGCACTGTCTGCCAGTTCCAAAGGTACGGTTTGGTCGGTGTGCTTTGAGGAGGGTTTCAGCAGTTTGATCAGCACCTCACCTGCCATGATGTTGAACAGATGTAACTGTGTGTAAACTGTAGGTGATGCGAGGCTCTCTTCGATTTCCCGGTAAACACATGACAGGAATGTCTTTGCACTGTTTAGGGTTACTTTTGGAGGACAACCCCTCGATCCGAGCCATCAGCCTGGGACACGGGCACATCCTGGTGGGAACCAAAAATGGAGAGATTCTGGAAATTGATAAAAGTGGGCCCATGACTCTGCTTGTGCAGGTACTGTGGGGATCTCCCATATCAGACTGTTTCCTGGGGAAATACAGCACATGGTGACATCTTCCCAGTCATTTTCTGTCTGTTTTCATTAACCCTCTTGGCCACCATTCCTTCCCTTGCTCAGGCTGAAGTTGGTGCTTTCATGTGTAAATGACTTTGAGATTCACTGTGGATTATGGAATTCGGAAGGTAAAAACAACAGTCCCTTGAGTTCAAAGGCTGATGGGGCTCTCTGTGGATTTTTTAGACACATTTAAGTTTAGGACTCAATATAAACATGAGAAATGAAGGGTTCAACTAACACAGTTTATTTTATTTTGACAGTGTGGTTCCATTTATTTCCTTTTACAGTATATTGTGAAGGATCCTGTGAAAAATGGTGGAGTGATGACAGCTTTCTACAGTGACACACAGTTGTCATTGCAGGTGTTGCAAAGTATAAAGGGATTTTTTTTTTGAAAAAATAGTATTTTTCACAGTTTGGTTAAAAATTTTTCGTGAATATGTCTGCTGATGTATTTGGTGCTGCTTTGGTTCAGTGTATTTCATAACCACACTGTCTGTATGTATAAAATTATATAGAACAGTTACTGAGTTGTAATTTATTGAGCTTTTACCTTTTGTTTTCTGTAATTAACATTGTTTTTTACAAAACCGCTGTTTCTTTGGTATTTTCTCAATTAGTTCTGATCACGTGAGGTAATCCTTCAGATTAGCCTTGCCTGCATCCTTACTAACAGAGATGTGTGAAGCTGTATTTTAGAAATGATTGAACTCACTCACTGATCCAGACTGAGAGCAGTAAGAAATGATTTAACCTTGATGCAGTGCCAGAAGCTGTGTGCAAGCTGAAGGAAATCTGGGGAAGAAAGCAGGGAGAGTGATTAACAAGTCGGAAAACTGAGAATGTGGGGAAAGGTTAAAAGAACTAAGTATGTCTGTTTTGGGCAAACAAGCTCTCCAGGGTGTTAGAAATGACATAAACCTTGAAGGCAGATTAGCCCATGTTAGGATTTCAGGGTGCTGGTTGGCACATAACTATTTCATGGTCATTTCAAGTGTGGAAAAGAGAATATTGGAAGAATAGGAATGACAGCCAAGATTGGCAGAGTATCTTGGGTAGTTGTCAGAGAAACAGAGCAGACATTCAGGTCTTCTTGAACGTGGAAAGCACTGGAGATGAGATGGTGGAAACCTTGTTGCCTGGGACTCATCAGCTGAGGCAGGGCAGGTATTAGAGCACGTCACAGGACCCCAGATGCATTCCTTTGTCTTGTGTGGACTGACTTCCCGCAGGGCCACATGGAAGGAGAAGTGTGGGGGCTGGCAGCTCACCCCCTGCTGCCCGTGTGTGCCACGGTGAGCGACGACAAGACGCTGCGCATCTGGGAGCTGTCGGCGCAGCACCGCATGCTGGCCGTCAGGAAGCTCAAGAAAGGTAACTGGCCCTGGCCATGGCAGGACACGGCCTGGCACAGCTCCCCTGGGCTCCCAGGGCATCACAGCCAGGAGCCACGCAGGGAAAGGGCACGGTCATTAGGGAGTTGGAAGGGCAGGAAATGAATTGTCTTTGGCATGTGTCAGGTCAGTGAAAAGGGCAGGAAGGAAAAGGACTGTAATCTATTGTAATGAATAGTAGTAAAATAAATGAACTTTAATCTGTTCTCCTCCAGTTTCAAGGGGAATGAGTTGACCCCAGAATCCTTTTCCTTCCCAGGAATACCCGAGGCCAGCATGTTTGTTGCTGACACCTGAAAAGATTCCTTATAAAGACAAATGTACAATGTCCTGCATGCTGGGCACAGTCAGCCTTCAGTGGCAATATGAGCATTACATCTTACAACAACTCCCCTGCAAATTAACAGCTTTCCTGCCCTCTCCTCTGTATAAAATGAGATGAACTGTGTTGAAATGCTGCTTTCTCTTATTTTGTTTCCTCACTGATATCCTTCAGGGAATTTTGTATTGTCCATTTCCAGTGACAGATCTGGAGCACGGGAACTCTCACTGGCTGAGGGAAAACAGAGTCAGATGGTTTTGAGGGGTGAGGATGGTTGTAGGAGACAGTATGATCAGAAATAATGTTGGGGCAAAAAATAACTGAAGGAAGTTTAGTTTAAATGTGCTCTGCTGAAAGGAACCATTATTGAGTCATATAATAAAGAAGTTTTGGGTGTGGTATCCCTGAAAGATGTGCAGTTACACTGCTCTGAATGAGTTTGAGTTTTCCATCCGGATTTCCTTTCTGTGTGTGTTTTGGGGGTTTATTTTGCTTTAGTTCTATCCCTGGTGTGTTTAGAATGTAGCTGGGAGGGCGTATCTGCACATAAACTGTTCCAAGGCAGATCCACTCAGCACTGTCAGCTCAGGACCCCCTGTACAGAGGGCTCATTCCCACATAACGGAGCATTAATCATAGCCCTGTGTAACGTGTTTGCTTTAATCAACAACAAATTCCCTTAGAACTGCCTAGTTGATGTGGAGGCCTTGCAGTGCTGGTTGCTGTGCCCAGGGCCGGGCTGGGAGGCTGACAGGTGCCCTGTGCCCTGGCAGGGGGCCGCTGCTGTGCCTTCTCTCCCGACGGCAAGGCCCTGGCCGTGGGGCTCAACGACGGCAGCTTCCTGGTGGTGAACGCCGACACCGTGGAGGACATGGTCTCCTTCCACCACAGGAAGGAGATGATCTCGGACATCAAGTTCTCACGAGGTATAACCCTGGGATAAGGTGGGAGGGGGGTGTTTATCCTGGAGTTTATGCTCTAGGCAGGACTGAGTGTTCCGAAGGGAGACTGACTGGCTTTCCGTGTGCTCCGTGCATTCCACTGGGTTGTGTGCAGCCTGCTAGAATGGACACACCCCTGGCTGCTGCATCTGGCTGCACTGCAGCACTGTACATGCAGAACAATATTAATGAGAAGATTTAATAGGATTTTAATAACCTCAGTGTCCCCTCTTTACAGAATCAGGAAAGTACCTGGCTGTGGCCTCCCATGATAACTTTGTAGACATCTACAATGTACTGACCAGCAAAAGGGTTGGCATTTGCAAAGGTGCCTCCAGCTACATCACCCACATCGACTGGGACTCCAGAGGTAATGTGTTTGGCCACGGGTACTACTGGAAATGCCCACCAAATGGGCAATCAGGGACTGTTCCCCTGCCAGTGACAGATCAGCTGTAACCACCAGTGCTCGTGCCTTCTGCCCACGGAGCACCATGTGGGGCCAGTGCAGTTCCAGTTGGTGGTGTCCAGTTCCCTGTCCTTGCTGAGCACTGCCTGGCAATCACTGGGGCGTGATTGTCACAGAGCCTGATTGTCACAGCTGATTAAGTCCAGCAGGATCATTAATGATCTCATGCTGATAAGCCATCCCAGAGCTAATGAGATCCCACGCAGGACCACCTGTGTGTCTGGGCCCTGCTGCCCTGTGGTGTGGGATCACTGACAGCACCACCACAGCTTGTATGGGCATGGAAAACTACCCCCCCCAAGGGCAGATTGGTGTCAGTGGCTGTGCCAGTGGGGCAGTGAAAAGAGACAGGAGCTGACAACGTTTTCTCTTTTGGCAAAGCCGTCTTGTAATGTTTTAATGAAAATTAACAGCACACACATTTAGTTTTTCCTTCCATTAGTGTGAGGATGAAACACTAGCAGAGTATTTTCTGTCAGCAGAAGCTGTTTTACTGCACAAGGGTAGCTTTTTAAGGACATTGGATGGTATTTAAAATATTACTTATTCAGTGAACCAGGAGTAAAGGATCCTTAGCAGACTGATTTTCAGCATCTCTTTTACTTGTGCTATGAATAATTCTCTGGAGGATAATTTTTTAACTTACGCCCAGAAATCTCTTCACTCAATCAAAAGAAAGTGCATAATAGTTAATTATAATTAGTATTAATTATAAATAGTACATAATAATTAATGAGATTCACAATAATCTCTCATTTCATATCCAGGAAAGTTATTGCAAGTCAATTCTGGTGCCAAAGAACAACTATTTTTTGAAGCACCGAGGGGGAAAAGACACATCATAAGAATTGCTGAGGTACAAAGTACATTTACTGGACTTTGTTTTCTTTGAAAGTTAATTTTAAGAATTGTCTTTAAATGGTGCTGTTTGTCCTTTTATGATACCATATTTGCAGTGGTTAGAATTAGAATGATTTGCTCGTTCCACAGTGTCTTTCCTAGCGTTTGTAAATGGTAGAAGGTGCAGGTTTCTGTTTGTATCTCTGAATTTATTGTTGTTTATTTATTAGCAGCCATTTACCATAATCCCCTTTCCTGAAGTCACCTGTTTTGTGTGTAATCAGTCGCATTCAGGCTATAAACCATCTTCAAACAGCCTGAGCTGGCTTTTCCTGATGTTGATTATTTGTGACAAGTAATTCTGCTACAAAATTGCCCATGTTTAACACCTCGGAAAACCTTTAGGGAGATTTGGATCCGTGCTCTGTCTTGGGAAAGTGGGAATGTTTAAACCTTTTGATGACGAATCAACACACAGTATCTGTATAAACACAGGTACCTGTAAATGTAAATGCACAGTGGACAGTTTCTTGAAAGCTAAAAAAATAAAGGTAATATCAAGCACAGGAAAATATACAGATGGAATTGGTATGTATTGAATTGGCTTCTCTGGGGGCAATTCCGCTTGCAGATAGAGAAGATCGAATGGGACACGTGGACGTGTGTTCTTGGGCCCACCTGTGAGGGGATCTGGCCCACGCACAGCGATGTCACCGTGGTCAATGCCGCCAGCCTGACGAAGGACAGGACCCTCCTGGCCACCGGAGATGACTTCGGCTTCGTGAAGCTTTTCTCGTACCCGGTGAAGGTAAACGGCGAGCGCACTCCTGAGCTGAGGGAGGCAGTGCAGGGGGTCACTGCTGCCAGGCTGGGCACTGCTGACCGGGCACTGTCTGCGCTGCAGGGCCAGCACGCCAAGTTCAAGAAGTACGTGGGGCACAGCGCCCAGGTGACCAACGTGACGTGGCTGCACAACGACTCCGTGCTGCTCACCGTGGGTGGGGCCGACACCGCCCTCATGATCTGGACCAGGGAGTTCCTGGGCATCCAGGAGAGCAAGCTGGTGGATAGCGAGGAGTCAGACACAGATGCAGAAGAAGATGGAGGTGAAAAGGATTTAATTTAGTCTTCGTTCCACAGAGGCTCTCGCCGGGGTTTAACTTGAAGTGGGCAAGAAGCTTTGCTGAGCTAAGTTTCAGAGTGAGGAGAGCTTGGCAGGACTTGCTGCCTTCCTTTGGTTGGTGCAGATCTTGCTCTCTTCTCTCCCCCTGTGAAACAAGGGCAGTTTGTTTCATTTTCTGTTTTATTTTTCCAAGGTTATGATAGTGATGTGGCAAGAGAAAAAGCCATTGACTACACCACGAAGATCTACGCAGTGAGCATCCGGGAGATGGAAGGCACAAAGCCCCACCAGCAGCTCAAGGAAGTTTCAGTAGAAGAGAGGTATGTCCCTGTGTGAAAATGAGAAGAAAAATGTTACAGCCCTTTTTTAATCCCAAGTGTTAACCATAACATGCTGCAGGAGGATTAATGATTTTTTTCATTACAATGTTGAACTGTAACATTTCCTTTTCCCCTTCTTTTGAGAATATCTCCTTCCATTTTCTCTTTTCCTCATATAAAGGATTTGTTCCTCCATTTTCCTGTAAAAAGGCATAGTGTGTGCTCTAGTAAATATGAATATTTGAAGTTTGAGTTAAAAAAGGGAAAAAAGTATTTTATTCTGAGTGACTATTGCTATATTGTTACTACACATGAAATAATGATTGCCAGTGGTGCAGGAGTGAAAATCACCCTACACTCCCTGCAGAGCTTCACTTCCCTGGATCCTGGCCACGGGTGTGCTGTGGGGTGGCAGACAGTCCCTCCTGTCCACATGCTCAGCCCCACTCAGGGAAAATGTGCTGTGTTCTGTCCACTGGAGCTGGGGGCTCCTGCAGTGCTTCCACACCTCCCCTCTGGGGGAACTGGGCCCAGTGTAATGGGGAGACCCCTCCCCTGCACTGGGGTTGCCTCTGACTTCCACAGTAGTCTCTTCATAATGTGTACACAAAACCAGCATCTCATATTGTATCCCCAGGGTCTGGACTGAAGAGAGTAAAAAGCAAGGGTTTACCATTCTCTGCATCTTTTTTCTTCTTACTGTCTCTGTGGAATCAAGTTTTGTACTTCATTCAAAAAACAGGTTAAAAATAGGCCCTTGTAACTTGTCCTCTCCATCTTTCCTGCTCGAGAGTCACAGCTATTGTGCACCTTTTTACATGTCCTTTTTCAATTACAGCTACTTCAGAATGATCACACCTTTGGTGTTGGGAATTCGCTGTTTTGATACATTTGTCAACAGATCCCATCATTTCCCTCTGTTGCTTCTTAGGCAAAGATGACTTGACTTCTCCTTCTTCATGGCATTGATATAAATAGCAAGAATTTATAGTGAAGTAATCAGAAGCAGCAACTTTATGGGGAAATGTCAGCAAAGCTGTGGCTTCTGAGGGTGTTGTGCTGGTTTGGGGTGCAGTAAGGTGACATTAATGTGTTGGCTCCTGCAGTTGTTGGCCCCAGTTGTACAGTGTGTGCACAGCTCCTGCAGGATCTTGGCACTCCCAGTCCTGAGTGCTTCAGGGTGAGCTGACTCCCCTCATAAGACCTATGAATTATGAGGGAAACTTTGTAGCTGTGCCAGATTCCATCTTTTCTGGGAGCACAAAAGGATGTAGCAGCTAGAAGAGGGTTTGTCTGACCACGACAGGCTTCCTCACATCACTGGGCTGGCTTCTCCTTGCACTCCCAAAAATCCAACGTGACAGTCGATCAGGGGTGAAGTGGGAAGTCTCCAAGTCCTCAACTGGCACTGCTCAGGGAAATCTGAACCCTAAATCAGCAGGTCTTGAGGAGTGTGGAAATCCCTGTGCCCAGGGCTCAGTGAAATACCAAAACCACTTCCCAGAGCTTTAGATTTGCTGCCAAAGGCAGGCTCTCCCAGTCCCTTCAGATCTGGAGAAGGGACCCAAGGGGCTGTATTCCACTCTTTGTCAGGAGGGGATGTGGAAAAACCTGGTAGGCTTTGGAGGAGGAAGATTTTCTGGAGGAAAGGTTCCCAGTCCTTCCTCTGTATAATTGTGCCAGATATCTGTATGAAGAGCCCAGTGAAAAACACATAGTGAGGGGCTCAGGAGTGTCCCCCTTACTGTATTTCCATTGTGGGTCTGAGAAAGGAAAAGCTGTGAATTATTCAGAGGTGTAGTGGGAAGAAACTCAGAATTAAACAAGTTTAAATTAGGAAAAGGGGAAAAAATATATAAAAGCAAGCTTCTGTCTCAAGCAAGAGACAGGAATAGCTGGGGCTGCCACCCTGAGCTGCTCCCTGGGGGCAAGGGCTTAGAGCTCACTGTGTTTGTTTCTTTTAATGGTAATATTTAGCAGGTGAACTGTTGCTGAAGACGTTATTTGCCTGCTTATATAACGCAAACACGCTTCAAAGGCGCTATGTGGCACCCAGGAGACAGTTCCATCTGCTTAACCTTTCTGTTTGCTAGAGTAAGCTTGCAGGACTCTGTGCTTCTCTAATATCGAGAGAGGTGGATCTGAAAAACTCAAGGTACAACATCTGTCTAGAAGTAACAACTCACTGCACAGTTCAGGAAGAGTTTGATCTCAGGAGAAGCTCAGATATGACAAACTTGGGACAATTAATAAGGTTTTCTTTTGGAAAAGAAGATGAAAACCCTTCATGAAATTTGTTTTTGCTGTCTGATTTGAACATAATGGAAATAACCACGATTCTGTGAAATACCTTGGAGGAACATAGAAGGTACATGATAGCTTTTATGAAATCGTGGTCTGGTATTCTGGGTATTTTCTGTCTCCATCAGCAGTTATAGCTTTAGGATGGGGACACAGCAGGAGAGAGGAGGCTGAGGAGCAGTTCTGACATGTCTTGTGGTTGTATGAGTGCATCTGGTGAAGATCATTAATCGATTCTTGTTTCTCTCTCCTCTCCCCAACCTTTTTTCTTCTTCCCCCTTTCCATGTCCCCCCTGTCCCCTCCCCTCCCGCTGTGGTGGCCCCTGTGTGCTGTGCCGGTGGTGCAGGCGGGGGGTGTCCCCCCGAGGGGCTGCAGGTGCCGTGCCGCGGGCTGGGCGCTCCCAGGGCGGTGCTCCCGCACCCTGGCACCCCTCGGGCACTGCTGGGACTGGCCCACACAACCAAGGACAATTGTAAGCCATGCTTGTGTCACGGAGCAGTCGTGCTGTGTTTGGGGAAAGGGCCAGCTTTGACTGGGACCATTTCCACTGGCCTAGAGTCGATCTGATAAGGAGTGACCCCAGCTTGGTGCCAGCTGCGTTTCTGTTACTAACACAGGAGGCAAAGACCTGTTTGCATCTGGCCTTTTACTAACCCCTAACACCTGCCCTGTGTTTGCAGCTTCCACTGAGTTCGATCTGCATGACCCTACATAAACTCCTGTAACACACCTGGAGATGGAAACCCCTTTAAAGCAGGTTGAACGTGTAGAAAACAAAAAGCAGCATTAGCATGTTGGTCTGGTTTTCTGTTTTCTGAACGTCCTGGCTTGCCTCACTCTCCACGAGTTACCTCAAGCCTGTTCTCCATCGTGCTGTTTGCAGCATGTGTAATCATATGTTCTCATGAAGGTAAAAAAAGGTGGGAAAAGCTGCGTTTTCCCTCTTTGAATCTTATCCTTTTGATTATTGGTTTCTTTAAAACAGCATGAGATGAATTATATAAGCTTTCCAAATAGCCCCCACAAGGCTTTGTGAACTGAATTATTAGACATATGGTTACAAAATTGGTTCCTGCACTTTTACACACACATGTCTGTGGGTGCAGTGTAAAAGCTTTGAATTGAATCTGTGTTGTATTTATGTGTGGGTGGGAACTATTCGAAATGTATCTGGAAAAACACGTCGTTGGGGTGGAGAAAATAACTCTGGGCTTATTTCAGCAGAAACCTACTGTTTGAGAATGAGGAGCATCCTTCAGAATATTCACTTCTACTTTCTCAACAGAATTATGTCAAGTTAATGCAACCTAAATATATTTGACGTCGTGCTGGTTTCATCCCAGTTGTCCCCAAGGCTTGGACACGTTGTGACTGGTATTTGTCAGTCCCTGCCAAGCAGTGAACTCAGAGTCGATCTCCCTTCTCCCCCAGCTCAGCACAAAGCTGGCCCAGAGGTCTTTCTGGTCCGGGTGGCACTTGAGGGGTGTGGAACTGAGGGGAGCCAACACTGCCACGAGTTACCAGCATTTCTCTCTCTGCACTGAGGTTGATGTGACATGGTCAACTTTTCTGAGGGTTATTGTGTAGTCTGTAGTCCAGGACTGATGGAAACAGCCTGTTTCTGATGTTGTGCTGTGCTGAGGGAGGATGGGCCTATAAAACTGCCTTATGCTATTGGCTGAATGTTTGTACTTACACAATAGGCACAGTTTCAAAACGTGTCGGAGTTTATGTAAGGAATAGCAAAACAAAGGAAAAGACTCTGTTCCTCTCACACAAGATCCCAAACCCTGAGAGAAACCTGAGGAAAGAGTGACAGATTCTGCTAAAGCTGGCTGATTCTGCTGCAGGTAGCACCTGGACACAGCTCTCCTGAAGTCTCCTTATTTGAGGGATTCAGAACTTTTTAGCTCAAAGGCAGAAATTCAGGTTGTGCCTAAAGCATCTTACAGCGTGTTCTGAGAAGCTGGTTTGGGCAAGCGAGGCTGAGGGGATTCCTAGAGAGCCGTGGGTGTCCAGGTGTGAGGGAGGGCAGGTCTGGGGTGTGAGGGATGGCAGGTTTGGGGTGAGGGACGGCAGGTCTGGGGTGTGAGGGACAGCAGGCTTGGGGGTGAGGGACGGCAGGTTTGGGGTGTGAGGGAGGGCAGGTTTGGGGTGTGAGGGACGGCAGGTTTGGGGTGTGAGGGACGGCAGGTTTGGGGTGTGAGGGACGGCAGGTTTGGGGTGTGAGGGACGGCAGGTTTGGGGTGAGGGAGGGCAGGTCCTGGCAGATCCCAGTGTGTCCATGTGTGACAGATGGTGGGTCCTGGTGCAGCAGGGCCAGCCTGGGCTGGGTACAGGAGCTGTTTAGGGAACATCTTCCCAAGGTGTTTGGAACAGTGACCTTGTTAAAAAGTAGCAACCCTCAGATTCCATTCCCAAATGATTACCTCCTTATTAATCCCTTGTTTCCCATCTGGACCCTGATCTGGAATGACGTGGGAATGCAATGACTGTTGCCCTGACAGGGCCTGGCTGGCCCTACCATACATCCTGCAGTACTTTTGGATTATTTTTGACTTTTTTTTTTTTTTTTAAAGAGTGCATCAGCATACATGTGAAATTATAAGTTTTATAACCATGGTAAGGCTTTTCCACTGCTACAGTTTTGAAAAATAATTTAGGTTGCTATTGATGTTTCTCTCTAGTTCTGTTTCAGCTTTTCTTGGATCCACTGTATTTGGGAGCAGCGTATTTTCACGTAGAATCCTATTTTTGTTTGTTAAGTTAGCTAAAAAGTGGTAAGAAGTAACAGCAGGAGAAGTTGGATGTAAAACTCCTGTGTGTATTGGGATGGGAAAATCCAAGGGTTTAGAATTCACAAAATCTTTAATCTCTTCTTACAGCTGTAGGAGTTCTGCAGCAGTCTGGGGACACTGGAGAGCCCCCTCCTGTGAAGGGCACTTTTAAAAGCTGCCTGTACATTTTGTCTGAAATGAACAGTATATTTTTTTAGATCCTGGATTTTTGTTCTCTTGTCCCACCAAACCTCTGTCTGACCTCTCTTTGAACCTCTCTTTCTCTTCTCAGGAGCAGTCCTGCCCATGTTTGTGTAGCATCCAAGTGTTTTCCCTCTGCAGTTCCCAGCCATGTGAATCCCCATGTTTGTCTCCTTTTGGACTCTGCACCTTTCCCTGCCCATTCCTGCTGGCTCAGCCCATGACCTAAAAGTCAGGACACTTATCCATCTGTTCCTGCTCCAGATCTCCTTGCTGGTCCCTTTCATGTGACACTGTTTCTAAAGCTCCAGTTCTGCTTCCACTGGCCTCAGAGCAGAACATTTGTGGGTTTGCCACGGTATTCCTGCTACTGATGGCATCTCCAGGCAGGCAGCAGTTACGTCCTGTGCTCTGGAAACAGGAGTTGGTTATATCCCCCTCCCACAGAGTTCATCCTAACGCTTTTTGATCTGCTTTTTCTCTCTTGTATTTTCCATCTACACTGATCTAACTTCCCCCCACCCTTAGCTTGGCCCTGTTCTCTAAGGTCATGTCTCCTGCCTCCCTCAGGGTGCCTCACTCTCCCAAACCCCCTTCCCTGTCGCCCAGCCCAGCTCTGGGTGTGTCTGCCTGTTATCCTGTGTGCTGGTGCTGCCTGTTCCCCCCAGCCCTGCTGCTCTCCCTCCAGGGCCATTCCAGAGGGTGTCCCTGCCTCTCTGTGGGCACCTGTTCACATTTCTGCAGGAAGGTGGTGGGGAGAGTTTGGCAGTTGGAACGTGGAGTTCTCTCACTGGCATAGCAGTGTGTGAGAATATCCTGGAGACTGTCGGGAGTAACGGGAACTTTATTTGCTGTATTCGCAGTACCTAAAGGACTGAAAGCCCCCTAATGTCTGACTGTGTCTTATCTTTCCTGGAACTCACCCATCCCATGACGTAATGACACTCGTTTATTTGAAATTGCTGGAAAGAAACCGTTAATGCTTGTGTTATGTTTTGACTTGCTTTCCTTTGGAGGCAGGGAATTGTCAAGTAAGTACTGACACGGAGCCCAGGAAGAGCCCAGCTCGCTGGGAATGTGCCTTGCAGGCTGCACAGGTCCAAAAGGGCAAAGGGATGTCGTTTGCTGCAGTGCAAAATTTCTTGTCTTGACAGTGTCATCTTCTGTCTCAAACCAAATTAGGTGTAGTTGTAGGCTTGTTAAAAATGAAAGGACTCTTAAAGTGTTCAAACTGTGCTGCTTTCCGTTTGCTGTGTTGAGGTGGGGGTAAGGCAGTGACTGCACACGTGTGTATATATACATGTCATGTATATATGAATGCACACAACATCTGTGTTCGTGGGGATGTGAATAGGTATCTCTCACAGTATCTGTGTGTGTGTGTGTGTGTCCAAATTAAACCTCATGCTTACAGTCTGGTGACTATCCAGCATGTCACAGTGGTAGTGTTCTCTTGCTTTACTGAAGATTTTGGCTTGCTCTTGTCGTAAACGTTGATATTTGTAGGTGAAGAAATGTGAAAACAATCCGTTCTGAAGTTACACTAAAACAGAAAAAAGAGCAGGAACCCCATGAGAAAGTGATTCTTTTCCTGAGTGCTGGGTCAGAGGCCTTGTAAACCTGGGCTGAAGTGAATTAGTCCCTTTGTTGTGCAACAGAATTGGGTTCTGCAGCGGGTTCCTGTGCCCTTCCCTGCCGGTGCTGGCACTGCTGCCCAGGCCCGTCCCACCCGGGGTTGTGTGAGGGGACTCTCACAGAAAATAAAGGTACTTGTTCCCTGTGCACAAAGCAGGACAGGCTGTCCTGGGAGGGGCTTGGCCAACCCACAGTTGTGGGCCAGATTGCAGCCTGAACTGGGATAGGGAACAAGCAGCCATTGTGTGGGATCTCCACAGTGCTCAGGAGACTGACAACTTCCCACCAGCTTCCCTCCCTGTCAGGCACCTGAAAACAACCAGCAGTGGAGATCTGCTCCTGCAGTCCAGAGCGTGCAGGGAGCAGGGGTGGCGCTTCCTTCTCCCCTCTGTACCCCAGCATCTGTAGCTCAGTGTGCCCAGGGGGGCAGGGTGTGGTGTTTGCCATCTCTAGACTGGTGCACTCTTTAATTTCTGTTTTAGTTCTTGCTGGCATGCTTGGATAGCACGTGCTGTGCCGCAGGGAATGACTGCTCGGCTCTCAAAGTGCTTGTGCATGAGTAACTGCTCAGAAGTAACACCTAAACTCTATTAAGTTTCTTGCTTGGCTTTGTTTGCTGCTTACAAGGGGATCAAGGTAACTCTTTCACTCTTCTAACGTCACGAGGTCACCTGCTAATGTAGCTGTTGGTCCTTAGTGAGTGTGCTTTGTTCTGTCCATGGTAGAGCTCAGCTTTTCATGCTGTTCCTCCTGCAGCCGGGATTTTTGCTGTGCAGCAGGAGCTGTTCCAGCTGTGGGGTTTGTCACTTATTGCCTGTAATCCCTCCCGTAAAAACCCAGCTCCAGAAAAAGCAGCTCCCTGTTAAACCAAAGGGCTTTCATTCTTCTGCAGTTTTAATTTCACTGGTAGTGGTAGTTCCAGTCCAAGGGCAAGAGCAAATTTCACAGCACGTGGGACAGGTAGCAAGGATGCACCGTTTGGAAATCCCAGTCTGTGGGAATGCTCTCCACAGGCTCCCCTTAGCCTTGTGCCTCTTTTTCCTTGCCAGGATCAATAGCAGCACCAGAGATGATCTGGCCTTAAAGACCATTTGCACACATCAGATTTTGTCTCAGCCTTTGTAGCTCCTTTTAGCAATTGTAATTATACAGAAAAGCTTTGCTGGCCTTGGTCTCTTAAAAATCACATGGATGAATGACCTGTACATTTAAATGCAATCATCTTTAATAAAATCTTCTCAAAATCATATTAAAGCCCTGCCAAGGTTTTGGGATGGGGTTTCTCAGAAGAAGCAGGGTTGGGCAGAGGTCAACTGTCAACTGTCAAAAACCTGTTAGATCACTTCTGAAAGCACCAATTTGCTATCATTTCACATTCAAGGTTTTTTCCATGCATTTATGTCGTGTTTTGGGGGTTTTTTAAATGGTGTCAGGTGGTCTGTTGTGCCGCTCATCCACAAGATCTACATCAATGTCATTTCTGTGCTTTCCATCCAAAACGTAGGGGATTGTAGTCAGTGTTTTATAATACTCTAAACAGGCATGGAGCTAATGCAGAGCCAACTGGCCATTTCCTGCCCTCACACAACAAACACGTGTGCTGTGGCTTTGGAGGTTTTATTTTACTTTCAAACATATTGATTGTGTTCTTTTTGAAATGTTCCTTTCAGGCCACCAGTCAGCAGAGCTGCTCCTCAGCCCGAAAAACTGCAAAAGAACAATGTCCACAAAAAAAAGAAACTGGTTGAGGTCAGGCTTCAGACTTGTTCTTTTGCTTTAGAGGTGACGTGTGCTGGGTGAAATCCATCCCTGTGCTGTGGACAATCTGCAACCCTTGCTTGGTCTGTGGCTCCCATTCACATCGTTCCAAGGGAGCTGGAATTGGGTCTGGGACAATCATTAAATCCATTCTCAGGGCTGGGATGCAGCTTTAACTACAATCCATTAACCATCCCCGTGTTTCTGCAGGACATTTCCTTGGGCATTGCTTGTTGTAAGATGCAATTCCACCTCTGATTGATGTTTGAAGTACAGAGTTACTTACAGCCTGCTTTGGCCTCCTTTAAGGACTTCAGGGCCAGATTTTGGGCTGTTGAAATTTGGTAGTTTATGAGAATGATTTTTGAAAACTGTGCAGATATCTTTACTTCTTTAAAATATCTGATACCCTATGTATCCATGTCATATATAGATGTTAAACTGTGATGGGAAGAGTAATGAAATCAGTTCTGTAAGCTGTAACTATTTTGAAGGGAAATTCACAGAATCAAAACATTTACAGCTGGATGCATTATTGAAGAAACAATAATATCAGTGCAGTGCCTTAGCTGACCAGTTAAAGTGTTGAGACAGTCCATGAGAATGTCATTCCTCAATAAATGAGCAGAACTGGGATAATAACTATTGTTAATTATTCAATTTTCTCCAAGGCATCTGTAGCTCATATAATTTAGAACTGTGCTTGTGCGATCCAGACTCTGAAATCTCCTTGTTTCTTCATTCCTTTCACTCCTCCCTGTGTTTTCCCTGCCCAGGAGCTGGCTCTGGACCATGTTTTTGGATACAGAGGGTTTGACTGTCGCAACAACCTGCACTACCTGAACGACGGTGCCGACATCATTTTCCACACGGCCGCAGCTGGCATCGTCCAGAACCTCTCCACCGGTAATTGCACTGCACACACCCCTGGGACACCCCACATGCTGGGCGGGGAAATGGTTCTGATTGAAAGGCTTAACGTTTTAATGTTCCTGTGACTGTCCCACGTCTTGCATCTTGATAAATAGTGCACAATCTGTGGGTGGCTGGTGGATCAGACAGCTTTTCATGCTCAGCTCATCCCATAGTGAAGACACAGGGATGGTTTTCTCTCCCAGGAGGAGACTAGTGGGGTATGAAATGACCAGTACTCCCAGAAATATGAGGAGCTGTAACATGCATTGTTTCATTCTGAGTTGTTATAGCAAAGTCATGCTACAACAGCTTTTTTTTAGTGCAGTCCACCTGGGCAAGTTGCTCTTTGGAAGGGGTAGAAATTCCCTGTGTAATGTAAAGGAGGAAAAACACCAAAAATGTGTCTGACCCTAAGTTGTAGCACCAACACCTCCATATTTTTCATGTCTCTCAAGAAAAAGAGAGGAGTTAAAGGAGTTGTGACTTGACTTTATTCCCAAAGGGTCCCAACTCTGCTGCCAAGGAGGGGCACAGGGAGGACACCTGTCCCATCTGCTGGCCCTGGGGACTCCAGTCCTGGTGTGCCTCTGACCTGTGGAGCTGGGAACACGGGTGGCCTTGGGAAGCATGGATGGCCCTGGGAACATGGGTGACCTTAGGAAGCATGGATGGCCCCATCTGTTCTTTCTGGGCCTGTTCCCTTGGCAGGCTTTTGTCTCCACTTTGCTTCCCACTGACCACCTGGTTTTCCTGGGGTTTTCCTGGGAAACCCAGACCTTTCACGTGGCAGTTTTGCTGTTTGTGGCAGTTACAGGTGGCTGTGGCTGACCCCTCGGCTGAGTGCCTGGGCACAGCTAGCTCACCAAGTCCTGCTGTGATGTGTGTGTGTGTCAATGGCCACGCTCCCAGTGCAGCTGGGAATGTGCCTGGGATGAGGGGGGAGCAGCCCTGGACACTGTTACTGCCCTGCCCCATCCCCTGCACAGCCAGCGGCTCAGAGTCTGCTCCAGTGGCTCTGGGGTGGCTGCTGAGGGGAATAAAGCCGTGTTTGGGTTTTCCCAGGCAGCCAGAGCTTCTACCTGGAGCACACGGACGACATTCTGTGCCTGACGGTGAACCAGCACCCCAAGTACAAGAACGTGGTGGCCACCAGCCAGATCGGTACGTGACCCGCACACCGGGGGCCGCCCCACACCGCGGGGCACTGCTGCTCGGGGCCTCTCCAGTGGCACCACTGCCACTGGTACTGTCCTTTGGAACGGGCAGCTCCAGGCTTGGCCTGTGATTTCAGTTCCCTCTCTGATCGTGTTGGATAACTGTACTTCACAAGGCAAGATTTGATAAACTGCCTGAATCATCTCATGAGTGCGATTTACAGAATGCCCCTTTCCTTCCTGTGTCCAAGGCACTGTTTAGCAGTGAGGATACTCTAAGGACCATTTCCTGTGCAGGAAAGGAGAGAAACAGAGGGAAATCTCAGCAGAAGACACGTGTCAGGGCCTATTGAAAACCCATCTGGGTTTATGTGTTTATTATTCACATGCAGAGCCCCGTTAGATTCCCTGGGACCTTTGGCAGGAGTAAACATTGTATGGGGAATGTAGGATGACTTAGGAGGATCTGCTGCCTTTCAGCTTCATGCTGTAATAATTAACTTGAAGAAGAACAGGGCCAGAACTCCTAACTCAGACCATTCTGGAAGGAGACTCAAGTCCAGAACTGCAGGACAGAAGTAACTTAACTTAGGGGGGCAGGAAAATGGTATCAGTGAGCACTGTGACAAACCATCTGCTGCCTGTTCTGAGCACTGCCACTCAGTCTGAGTGTGGGGTGAACACCCAAACCTGCACGTGGTGCCAGGGCTGTTCAAAATGCTGATTTCTGGAAAAGGTGACTGTTAAAGGCCCTTTTCTTAGGGCCCATGAGGTCAGTGTTTCTGAGTTTGGTTGATACTTCTTTGTGTAACTACAGATTCATTTCACTTTTAAATGGAGTAATTTTTAAAACCTGCATGTCTTTAGCCTTTCTTTTAAATGCCACTTTTAAAACTCCAAAGTACTAAATATTGTTGCGATATTTGTGTATAAAACCCAATATACCCAAAAAAGTTCAACAATATTGCTGCTTATTTGTTTTGTTGATTTAATCCATATCCATTTTTCAAGTTTTTAATTTTTTTTTTCCTTCTGGTGCTGATGCTGGCACTTGAGCATGAGAAACACGACTTATTTCACCTATTGTTTTCCCTTGGTGCTTCCTCATTTGCCATTGCTCTCACAATGCAGGTGACATGACAGAATTCCCAGGTAAGGCTGACTCCTTTGTGAATTGTAGCAGAGTCCTGTTCGAGTTTCATGTTGCCTCGTTGTATCTGAATCCCAGATACAAAGTGAAACATCTCCAACTTCCTTTGCATGAGGCTCTTCATGAATGTTACGTTGTTCTTTTAGAAGTTGTCTGATTTCATGCACTGCAATGGTTCCCCCTGTGTTTTGCAACTCTTCTGATTTCTCTCTGTGTGCCAGTAGTGTTCCTCTTCAAACAAAACCAACCCCCCAACTTCTGTCTGTTCAGGTTACGTGTTCTTGACAAATGCCTGTTTTGCACTGAAGCCTTCCAGAATTAACCCTCTTTAAACCACCTCTTTGCCCCCAGGCACAACTCCCACAATCCACATCTGGGACGCCATGAGCAAGCAAACCATTTCAATGCTGCGGTGCTTCCACACCAAAGGGGTCAACTACGTGAACTTCAGCGCCACTGGCAAGCTGCTGGTGTCGGTGGGAGTGGACCCAGAGCACACCATCACCGTGTGGAGGTGGCAGGAAGGTAAGGGCTCTGGGAAACCACCTCCCTGCAGCCCAGCACAGCTGTGCACAGAGATTACCCACTTGGCCTTTCAAGCCTTTGCACTGCGTTTGTGCTCTTGCTCTGAGCATCACAGTCCCAAATCAGTGAAGGGAGGTGACAAAGGGCTAGAAAATAGGAATGGGATGAGAAATGTTATACATCTGTTGTAAGAAGAAGGTAAGGAAAGAACGGTGCCTAACACAAAATTGCATGAAATTAAGGAAAGCAATTTCTTTTCCTTCCTAAACTCCTTGAAATTCTGTGCTGTAGGCAGGCCTTTGGGAAGTGATTTCCAGGAAAGAATTATCTTTGGGAAAGGTGGAGGGGAGAGGAAAAGTGGCTCAGCTCATTGCTGTGTCCCTGTGCCTCTCACTGGATGGGAACTCAGTGGTGATATCCAGCATTTCTGTGTTATGTCACCGATCCAGGAGGCAGAGTGTGCTGTGAGGGCCTTAAATCTGCATTTCCTGGCACTGTGGGCTGCACTGGGGTAACAGGGACCTTATGGCCTGAATGCATTAGGATTGAGAAACTAAATAGTGTCGGGCTTTGCAGCTTTCAGCATCTGGGACACAGATCCCTAATCCAATACCAGGCCAGTTTAGTTTATAAAATAATATCAGTGCTTAATTTTACAGCTAAATTTAACTTTACCAATTCCAACAGGGGCTAAAGTTGCCAGCAGGGGAGGACACCTGGAGAGGATCTTTGTTGTGGAATTCCGGCCAGACTCCGACACGCAGTTTGTGTCGGTTGGGGTGAAGCACATGAAGTTCTGGACGTTGGCTGGCAGTGCTTTGCTCTACAAGAAAGGAGTCATTGGTTCCATGGAAGATGCCAAAATGCAAACCATGCTTTCTGTTGCCTTTGGAGCAGTGAGTTCAAATTTTATGGAATTTTTCTATTACAGTTTTATTAAAACTGCAGTTTTCTGGGTTTAATCCAGCCCGGGGGGATGGTGCTTGTTAATGAAACGTGGATTAAACACCTGCACACCTTGAGACCTTTACCTTTCTAAGCACAACCGGGTGTCTGTTAGTGAATGGTTTTTATCAATGTCTGTGCACACCTACTGCCTGGCTTTTATTTTTTTTTTTTACTTCCCTGGTTATTTAGCACTTCACTGGTTAAAAAACTGTGATATTGTTATTTTGTGGATAGGCTCTGCAACCTTTTCCTCTGCTAATGGTATGTGGTGTGACAGTGATACAACCAGTGGTGACAGCACAGACAACTGTGCAGGGCGGTGGTGAAGGAATTGTGAATTTGATGGGAGGGATTTCACTTGAAGCTGACCAGAAAGGCAGAGGTGGTTGTTGCTGTTTGTTGCAGAACAACCTGACGTTCACGGGTGCCATCAACGGAGATGTGTACGTGTGGAAGGACCATTTCCTGGTGAGATTGGTGGCCAAGGCCCACACGGGCCCCGTGTTCACCATGTACACCACTCTGCGGGACGGACTCATCGTGACCGGGGGCAAGGAGAGGCCGTAAGACACATCCCCTCCTCCAGGCCACTCTCCTGGGGTTGTGTTTATGTGTTCACCCACTGCCCCACAGATGAATGGGCTCTGTGCTGCAGCAGTGTCACTGAATATTGCATAACCTGCCCAGGTATCTCAGTAAGTCAAGGACTAAAGGAGGACACCCTCCAGGGTCCCAGTGACACACCAGGGGCACACCGAACCTCTTAGGGTTTGCTCTGAACACCTGAATAAGCTCCTTGTTGCCTGAACTCCTGCCATAAGTGGGATTTTCTTAATTTTTTAATTCTGTCAAACTCCAGCCAGCCTCTCCCAGTGGAGACTCTGTAAGGCCTTCAATTTACCAGAAGTACCATTTGCCAAGTGACAGAGATTTGAGATTAAGGCACAAGAGAACAATTGGGTTTGGGGTGTTTTTTGAACAAGGGAACAAATTACGATGCTGTTGAAAACATGAAGTGTGAAAGCTTTTAATTTTTGATTTCCTTTCCATAGCACAGTAGGGAGGAGTCTTTCCACAGTGCAGGGATGAGTCAGTGTGTGCTCTGTGACTGAGGCAGAAAACCAGGGCTGGGGTTTGCAGTGGGATTTGTGGTGGAGGGGACACCGGGGTAACACAAGCCCCTCCCTTGCAGCACCAAGGAGGGGGGAGCAGTGAAGCTGTGGGACCAGGAGATGAAGCGGTGCCGGGCCTTCCAGCTGGAGACGGGGCAGCTCATCGAGTGCGTGCGCTCCGTGTGCCGGGGGAAGGTGAGGGGCCCACACCACCTCACCTGGGGTGGGCACAGGGAGGAGGCTTTGGCTGCCTCCCTGCTGCTCTCCCTCCTTCCCATCCTCCTGAGCTCAGGGTGGGTTTAAACTGCATTTCTGCTGCTCAGTGCCAGCCTCTCCTCCACGGTGGGCAGGGGGAGGGCAGGGCTGGCAGGCCCCGAGGGACAGTGCTGAGTGCAGGGACACATTCATCACGTGGCCCTTACCTCCTGAATTTCTTTTCAAACAGCAAAAGGAATCTGGGTACCTGCAAGGTTTGCTTCCCATGAAATGCAGACACAGCTCAGGTGCTTCTCTGGGACGCAGTGGATCACAGCTTTTGTGTTTTTTGAAGTCAGAAAAACCCCAGGTTGCCACTGAGAATTACTGAGGGACTTTGATTTTGGTGAAGTGGAAAACAGTAGAAATAAAGGGTAATTTGACTTGCTGAAGTCACTGTTGCCTATGTTGAAGTTGTGCTTGTAAATGCTCCATGAAGGGAGCGTGTGATGCTGCACATCAGTCAGTGACTGCCCCCTGAGCTGTGTCACTGGGCATACCGAGGGCCAGGAGTTTGCCATGCTCTGATTACACCACCACTGGGGAATGCTGGTTTGTACTTCCAATCCAGGAGCCATTAACCCATTCCAAATTGTATCTCTGCTTTTTCCAAGTGTTTACCAGGGAAACTCTTGTAGTGTGGACCATGAGAGGATGTTCCTGTTACACTGACAACCTCTCTCCATTCTTTTCTTCTGCCACATACAGGGGAAAATCTTAGTGGGAACAAAAGATGGAGAAATCCTTGAAGTAGGAGAAAAAAACGCTGCTTCAAACTTGTTGATTGACTGTCACATGGAAGGGGAGATCTGGGGCTTGGCAACTCACCCCTCCAAAGACATCTTTATCTCTGCAAGTAATGATGGAACAGCGAGGATCTGGGACTTGGTGGACAAAGTGAGTATTCCCCAGTGGAAAAACACGGGATTAAACAGGAATGTTTTATAGAACCCATCACGTTGTTTCAGGCCTTTTTTCCCAAGACAAATTGAGTATCAACAACCACTTCTAAAACCAACAGATAAATAAAACATTTTTAAAAAATAGCAGAAAGGTTTCTGCTCATGCTGGGTACCATCAATCTTTTCAAAAGGTCCTTAGCTGAGCTAGCAGGGATGGTTTTTAATAAGGGGAATGAAGATGTTATAAACACAATCAGCAAAGAGAAAATGCTACCCAGTTGCAGCAGATATTAAAGTCACAGATCAGGAAATAATTGATTTTTCAGCTTTTTTGCTAAACAGCCATTTTTCTGGTGTGAAACTGGATGTCACCCTACAAACTGGATGCCAACATGACCCCCCCCCCGTGAACTGCACACACACTGTGAGCCTGCTGTGCTCCATATGGCCGGTGGGCAGCGAGGCTGGGGGTGGAGCTGCAGGTTTATGTTGGAGCAAACAGAGCGGGTTGCTGGGGCCGAGGCGGGTGTGACGCTGTCCCCACGGGGGAGGTGTCAGCCTGTCTCTGTGTGTCCCCACAGAAGCTGGTGAACAAGGTGGCCCTGGGGCACCCGGCGCGCTGTGCCGCCTACAGCCCCGACGGGGAGATGGTGGCCATCGGCATGAGGAACGGCGAGTTCGTCGTCCTGCTCGTCAACAGCCTCAAGGTCTGGGGCAAAAAGCGGGACAGGAAGTCGGCAATCCAGGACATCAGGTAGGAAATCCCGCCTCAGGTGCTCTAAATACACTGCCCTGGCTCCGGGAAACGGCCAGCAAAGCTCCACGTTTCCAAAGGGTTCATAACTCCCTGTTTGTTGAAACCTGTGTGAAATGGTGAAGGGCACTCACATACCTAAGGCTTTACATTTACCTGAAGCTTAGGTATCTTGGACAGCACACTCTTGTTTTTCCCTGTGATTAGTTCAGTTACAGCCACGCTGCAGAGCTGGGACTATGGGAGGTAACATGACAATACTTTTCCAAATTGCAAGTCCTGTTGTGTATCCCAGAGGATTAGAGTTACTCTGCACTTGGCAAGTGCAATGTTAACATCAGTTAACTACAAACAATGTAGGGGAAAATCACAGAATGCTTTGGGTGGGAAGGGACCTTAGAGCCCATCCCGTTCTACCCCCTGCCATGGGCAGGGACACCTTCCACCAGCCCAGGTTGCTCCAAGCCCTGTCCAACCTGGCCTTGGACACTTCCAGGGATGGGGCAGCCACAGCTGCTCTGGGCACCCTGTGTGTGCCAGGGCCTGCCCACCCTCACAGGAAGGAATTTCTTCCCGATATCCCATCTAACCCTGCCCTCTAGCAGAGATATCCTCAGTTTTCCTCTTCTTAGTTTAGGTTCACTCTTCTTGTGGATAGAATTTTTTTCTCGTTTTCCAGTAAAAAAAATTACAATTGTGTTGTCATGAGAAACGAAGGCAAATCTTGCACAGGAACACCCAGTGACATCCCCATTCCGTGTCTTCTTGTGCAGGATCAGCCCAGATAACAGGTTTTTGGCAGTGGGGTCACAGGAACACACTGTGGATTTCTATGATCTCACCCAAGGCACAACCCTGAACCGAATCGGGTACTGCAAGGACATTGCCAGCTTTGTCATCCAGATGGACTTCTCTGCAGACAGCAGGTACATCCAGGTATGTGTGGGATTCCCTGTGCCAGCAGGACAGGAGGGAGGCACGAGGCAGGGAGGGCCAAGGATCCCCCGGGCAAGGGACGGGGACAGCCCTGGGAGAGGAGCTGTGGGTTGGGAGCTGTGGAACAGCTGGGGCTGGGGGAGAGCTGAGCTGGCTGGGGAGGCTTCCTCAGAAATGGTTCTGAGTCAGGAAAACTGGGCTGAGATGAGGCAGGGAGTGCAGAACAGAAAAGAATCTGTCAGCTCTGCAGAGGAACCATCTTCCTGTGCTGCCACCATCGCATAGGATGGACTCTACATAACCAAGAGAAAGGAGAGATTTTATCCCAGCTGTCTCATTCCTGGCAGAACTGGGAGACTGTCGCTGCTGGAGCTCCTGCAGCAGGTGCTGTATCCCTGGCAGAGGTCCCAGCTGTTTCCTTTCCCCCTGCAGGTCTCCACGGGCGCCTACAAGCGCCAGGTTCACGAGGTGCCCCTGGGGAAGCAAATCACAGACCCTGCAGTCATAGAGAAGATCACCTGGGCCACGTGGACCAGGTACAGCCAGGGACACCTCTGAGGGCCCTGGCACCCTCTGGGGCTGTCTGGGGGCTGCACGACTACCCCAGGGCTGCCCCAGAGCCACGGGGCTCCCGTCCCGGGCCCCTCCTACGGGCCGGCCGCTGCAGCTTCCCTGCCCTGGCCCCAGGGGCACCGCCCTGTCCCACGGCAGCCCCCACACAGCACAGGAGGCTGGACGGGCCCTGGGGGCGCTGAGCAGCTGTGGGGCCATTACAGCACATTCCCTGACTGGGATCAACCCGGGAGCCTCTGGCCAGGCCTGCAGAGCTGTGGCTGTGCCCTCCGGCAGGATGTGCCCGGGGGAGATGGGACAGGGCTGGGAACCAGGCAGGTTTAGAGGGGAAATGAGAATCCTCCTCCTCCTCCCGCTCTGCTGCCAAGCAGAGAAATGGACCCCACATTCCCTGTTTGTGAGGGCTCCTCACAGCTGCTGGGAGGGGGGCAGGCACCTCTGGCACTGACTGGGGGGAAATAGCAACAGTTCCAGAGGAACTGGAACCAAGGGCAGAACAGCTCTTGCTGAGAACCACTTGCTGCCCAAACAAGAATTCCCTCCCTGAGGAGGGAACTGGCCTCCCTCACTGACCAAGGGAGCACCGGGGCAGAAATCCCTGCAGGAGGGCACGTACAAATCCCTAAGGGAGGAAGGAGACCCAAGCTGCACCAAGTGCTTGTGTTGAACAGTGCCGGTGGTTTCACAGGAGATAAACCTCAGATTTGTGGATAGAGGTGGTTAAAGGGTCACACAAAATCCACGTACTCTTGTGATGGTCTCCAGGATGAGAGCTCAGCTCTTGTGTTCAGAGCAGTGATTTAGAGGGAAAAGCCTTATTTCAAAGGCAGTGATTCCTCATTACTGGGCTGTGTTGCCTCCCCATCCTGTGGAAAAGCAGCAGCAAGTCAGTCCTGTGGTCTAATGCTTTTATTTGGCCCTGGTTTTGGAGCATCCTGGGAGATGAAGTCCTCGGGATCTGGCCCCGCAATGCAGACAAGGCAGACGTGAACTGTGCCTGCGTGACCCACGCTGGGCTCAACATCGTCACGGGGGACGACTTCGGGCTCGTGAAGCTCTTTGACTTTCCCTGCACAGAAAAATTTGTGAGTGGCCGCTTGATTTTCACCTCTCCAGCTTTTGTTTTTCCCAAACTCCTCAGCACTGGCTTTACCAGCGCTCAAACCACATGGTCCATCCCCGGCAGCTCCAGGAGAGCCCAGGGGGTGACACAAACTGGGCTGTGGAGCTGGGATTGCTGTGGGGCTCGGTCTGTGTGTCCCCTCCTGGCCTGTGTGTCCCCTCTGAGCTGCTGTTCCCGCCTGCAGGCCAAACACAAGCGGTACTTCGGGCACTCGGCGCACGTCACCAACATCCGCTTCTCCCACGACGACAAGTACGTGGTGAGCACCGGCGGGGACGACTGCAGGTAAGGCCTGGCTGAGACTGGAACTCAGCCAGGGCTGCACACACACACACACAGACACACAGAGACACACACACACACACTGCACACGCACATTGTACACACACACGCTGTACACACACACTGTACACACACACACTGTGCACACACACACACTGTACACACACACACTGTACACACACTGTAAACACACACACTACACACACACACTGTACACACACACAGACACTGCACACACTGTAAACACACACACACTGTACACACACACTGTACACACACACACTGTACACACACACTGTACACACACACTGTACACACACACACTGTACACACACACTGTACACACACACAGACTGTACACACACACTGTAAACACACACAGACTGTACACACACACAATGTACACACACTGTATACACACACACAGACACTGCACACGCACACTGTACACACACACGCTGTACACACACAAACACTGTACACACAGATGGTACACACACACTGTAAACACACACACTGTACACACACACACTGTACACACACACTGTATACACACACACTGTACACACACACAATGCACACACACACTGTAAACACACACACTGTACACACACACCCACTGTACACCCACACACTGTACACACACTGTACACACACACTGTACACACACTGTACACACACTGTATACACACACACTGTACACACACTGTACACACACTGTATACACACACACTGTACACACACACACTGTACACACACACTGTACACACACTGTACACACACACTGTACACACACTGTACACACACTGTATACACACACACTGTACACACACACACTGTACACACACACTGTACAGACACTGCACACACACTGTACACACACACTGTGCACACACACTGTGCACACACACTGTACACACACGCTGTACACACACTGCTGTACACGCACTGTACTGCACACACACTGTATGCACACACTGTGCACGTACACTGTACCACACTGTACACACACACTGTACACACACTGTACACACACTGTGTACACCACGCACTGTACACACTGTACACACACACTGTACACACACTGTACACACACTGTGCACACACTGTATACCACACACACTGTACCACACACTGTACACACTGTACACACTGTATACACACACTGTTCACACACACTGTACACTGTATACACACTGCACACACTGTACACACACATGTACACACTGTACACACACACCTGTACACCACTGTACGCACACTGTATACACACACTGTACACACACACTGTATGCACACTGCGCCACACACACTGTACCACACACTGCGCACACTGTACACACTGTATACTGCACACACTGTACACACACACACTACGCACATGTACCGCACACTGTACACACACACACACTGTACACACACACTGTACACACACTGTATACACACACACTGTACACACACACACACTGTACACACACATGCACACACTGTGCCACACTGTGTACACACACTGTACACACACTGTACACACACACACACTGTACACACACACTGTACACACACACTGTACACACACACTGTACACACACGCACTATACCTGTACACACACGTACACACTGTGCACGCACACTGTGCACACACACACACTGCATACGCGCACACTGTGCACACACACTGTACACACTGATCACACACTGTACACACACACACTGTATGCACATGCACTGTACACACACACTGTGCACACACACTGTCACACACTGTACACACACGGACACTGCACACTGTAAACACACACAGACTGTACACACACAATGTACACACACTGTATACACACACACTGTACAGCCATACTGTACACACAGACTGTACACACAGACACTGCAAACTCTCTCACTGTACACACGCTGTACAAACACTGTACACACACTCACTGTACACACACACTGTACACACACACACTGTACACACACAAACTGTACACACACACTGTACACACACAGACACTGCACACACACAGAGACTGCACACACTCTCACTGTACACACACACACTGTACACACAGGCTGTGCACACACTGTACACACACACTACGTACACACACTGTACACACCCACTGTACACACACACTGTACACACACACAATGCACACACACAATGCACACACACACCCTGTACACACACCCTGTACACACACACTGCACACACACTGTACACACAGATGCTGTACACACACACTGCACACACTGCACACACCCACTGTACACACCCACTGTACACACACACACTGTACACACACACTGCACATGCACACACTGTACACACACTGTACACACACACTGCACACACACACTGTACACACACACACTGTACACACACACTGTACACACACACTGTACACACACACAATGCACACACACACTGTACACACACACTGTACACACACACTGTACACACACACACTGTACACACACACACTGTACACACACACAATGCACACACACACTGTACACACACACACTGTATACACACTGTACACACACACTGCACACACACACTGTGCACACACAATGCACACACACACTGTACACAAACACACACAATGCACACACACTGCACACACACACTGTGCACACACACACTGTACACACACACAATGCACACACACACACTGCACACACACTGCACACACACACACTGCACACACACACTGTACACACACACTGCACACACACACTGTACACACACACTGTACACACACACTGCACACACACTGTACACACACCCACTGTACACACACACACTGTACACACACACTGCACACACACACTGTGCACACACAATGCACACACACACACTGTACACACTGCACACACACACTGTGCACACACACTGCACACACACACTGTGCACACACAATGCACACACACACTGTACACACACTGTACACACACACTGCACACACACACACTGTACACACACACACTGTATACACATACAATGTACACACACACTGTACACACACACTGCACACACACACTGTACACACTACACACACACTGTGCACACACACTGTACACACACACTGTACACACACACTGTACACACACACACTGTACACACACACTGCACACACACTGTACACACACTGTACACACACACTGTACACACACACACTGTACACACACTGTACACACACACTGCACACACACACTCTACACACACACACTGTACACACTGCACACACACACTGTGCACACACACTGCACACACACACTGTACACACACACAATGTATACACACACACTGTACACACACTGTACACACACACAATGTACACACACACACTGTACACACACACAATGCACGCACACACTGTACACACACACACTGTGCACACACACAATGTGCACACGCACTGTACACACACACACTGTACACACACACAATGCACACACACACAATGCACACACACACAATGCACACACACACTGTGCACACACACACTGTGCACACACACAATGTATACACACACTGAACGCATTGTACACACACACTGTACACACACTGTACACACACAGTACACTCTCTACACACACACACACAGTACACACCCACACACACTGTGTGTTATTTGGAACATGCCAAGAACATGCTTGGAACATGCTACAATCATGTAAATAACATGTAAAAAGCATGCTTGGGACATGCTAAAATCATGCCAGTGTTGCCCGAAGTATTCATGATTTTCACATGCTCTTTGCATGATTTTAGCATGTCATCTCGAACATGCTAAGAACATGCCAAAGTCATTCCAATATCACGCTAAAACCATGCGAAAATCATAAGTACAGTGGGACAAAAATAACATGAATTCCGTATGTTCTTAGCATGATTTTATATGACCATAGCATGTTCCTAACATGTTATTAGCATGTCATTTCAAAGATGCTAAGAACATGCCAATGTCATGCAAAAAAAATCATGCTAAGAACATGCAGAATTCATTCCAGTTTTCCTTCAACTATTTATGATTTTATCATGTTCTTAGCATGATTTTAGCCTGTCATTTTGAACATACTAAGAACATGCCACTGTCATGCGAATATCACACTAAAAACGTGCCTAAATCATGCCAGTTTTGCACCAGGGTACTCATGATTTTCATGGTCTTAGTTTGATCTTCACATGTCATTTCAAACATGCTAAGAACATGCCAACGTCATGCTAAAATCACGCTAAGAACAGACGAAAATCATGCTTGTTTTGCCCTAAAGGATTCATGATTTCTGCATGATCTTGGCATGGTTTTAGTATGTCATTTTGAACATGCTAAGAACATGCTAAAATCATGTTTGGGACATGGTAAAATCATGCCAGTGTTGCCAAAAATATTCATGATTTTCGCATGATTTTAGCATGTCATTTCAAACATGCTAAGAACATGCCAAAAATCATACCAATATCATGCTAAAAACATGCGAAAATCATGCACACACTGGGACAAAACTAACATGAATTCTGTATGTTCTTAGCATGATTTTACATGACCGTAGCATGTTCCTAACATGGTTTTAGTATGTCATTTCAAACATACTAAGAACATGCCAATGTCATGCAAAAAATCATGCTAACATGCAAAATTCATGCCAGTTTTCCCTCAAGTATTTCAGATTTTCACATGTTCTTAGCATGACTTTAGCGTGTCATTTTGAACATACTAAGAACATGCCACTGTCATGCGAATATCAGGCTAAAACCATGCAAAAATCATGCCAGTTTTACACCAGGGTACTCATGATTTTCACATGTTGGTTTTTTTTTTTTTTTTTGGTCTTCACATGTCATTTTGAACATGCTAAGAACATGCCAATGTCATGCTAAAATCACACTAAGAACAGATGAAAATCATGCTTGTTTTGCCCTAAAGGATTCATGATTTCTGCATGATCTTACCATGTTTTTAGTATGTCATTTTGAACATGCTAAAATCATGTTTTGGACATGCTAAAATCATGCCAGTGTTGCCCAAAAAATTCCCGATTTTCACATGTTCTTAGCATGATTTTAGCATGTCATTTTGAACATGTTAAGAACATACCGTCGTGCCAATATCATGCTAAAAATATGCGAAAATCATCATTACACTGGGGCAAAACTAGCATGAATTCTGTATGGTCTTAGCATGATTTTCTACATGACCATAGCATGTTCCTAACATGGTTTTAGCATGTCATTTCGAACATGCTAAGAACATGCCAATGTCATGCTAAGAACATGCGAAAATCATACCAGTTTTACTCTAAAGGATACATGAATTTCACATGACGTTAGCATGATTTTAGCATGTCACTTTGAACATGCTAAAAACATGCCAAAGTCATTGCTTTGTCATGCTGAAAAGATGTGAAAATCATGCAAGTCTGACCCTAAAATATTTATGATTTTCACATGTTCTTAGCATGTTTGAAATACATGCTAAAATCATGCTAAGGTCATATGAAAATCATGAATCCTTTGGGTAATACTAGCATGAATTTCACATGGTCATAGCATGACATTACCATGTTCTTAGCGTGTTGGAAATGACATGTGAAAATCATGAATACACTGGTGCAAAACTGGCATGATTTTGTAAAATGTTCTTAGCATGACATTGGCATGTTTGAAATGACGAAAAAATCATGTTTAGAACCTGCTACAGTCATGTGAACATCAGGAATACTTGAGGGCACAACTGGCATGAATTTCACATGTTCTTAGCATGACAGTGGCATGTTCTTAGCATGTTCAAGATGGCATGCTGAAGTCATGCTAAGAACATGCTACGGTCATGTGAAAAACCATGAATATTTCAGGCAACTTGCATGGGGTTTGCGTGTTCGTAGCATGACATTGGCATGTTCTTAGCATGTTCAAAATGATGTGCTAAAATCATGCTCAGGTCATGGGAAAATCAGAAATATTTCAGGGCAAAACTGGCATGATTTTCGCATGTTCGTAGCATGATGTTGGCATGACAGTAGTATGTTCTTAGCATGTTCGAACTGACATGCTAGGGTCATGCCAAGAACATATCAAAATCATGAATACTTTAGGGCAACACTTGAATGGTTTTCACATGTTCTAAGCATGATATTAGCATGTTCTTAGCATGTTGGAAATGACACGTGAAAATCACGTTAAGGTCATGTGAAAATCATGACTCCTTTAGGGCAAAACTACCATGATTTTCATGTGATCTTAGCGGGACTTTCTCATGTTCGTACCATGATATTGGTATGTTCTTAGCATGTTCAAAATGACATGCAGAAATCATGCTAAGTACATGCGAAAATCATCAATATTTTTAGGCAACACTGGTATGATTTTAACATGTCCCAAACATGATTTTAGCGTGACATTGGCATGTTCTTAGCATGTTCAAAATGACATACTAAAATCATGCTCAGGTCATGGGAAAATCAGAAATACTTGAGGGCAAAACTGGCATGAATTTCGCATGTTCTTAGCATGATTTTTGTGATGTTCTTAGCATGATTTTAACATGGCATTGGTATGTTTTTAGCATGTTAAAAATGACATGGTAAAAACATGTTAAGAGCATACTAAGGTCAGGTGAAAAGCAGGAAGACTTTAAGGCAAAACTAGCATGATTTTCGTATGTTCTTAGCATGGTTTTAGCATGACGTTGGCATGTTCTTAGCATGTTCAAAATGTCATGCTAAAACATGCTAAGATCATGTGAAGATCATGATTACTTTAGGGCAACATTGGTATGATTTTCGCATGTTCTTAGCATGATTTTTGCATGACCTTAGCATGTTGTTGGATGTTTGAAATGACACATGGAAAATCATACCAAGAAATGCGAAAATCAGGAATACATTAGGCCAAACTGGCATGATATTGGCATGGTCATAGTGTGATTTTTTTTGCATGTTCTTAGCATGACATGGGCATGTTCTTAGCATGTTCGAAGTGACATAGGAAATCATGCAAAGAACATGCTAAGGTCATGTGAAAATCATAAATACTTTAGGGCAAAACTGGTGTGATTTTCGCATGTTCTTAGCATGTTCCAAATGACATATTAAAAACATTTTAGGAATGTGCTACGGTCATGTAAAAATCATACTAAGACCTTGCAGAATTCCTGCTAATTTTACCCCAGTGTAGTCATGATTTTTGCATGTTTTTAGCATGATATTGGCATGTTCTTAGTGTGTTCAAAAGGACATACTAAAATCATGCTAAGAACACGTGAAAATCATGGCTATTCTTGGGTAACACCGGTATGATTTTAGCATGTCCCAAGCATGATTTTCGCATGTTCTTAGCATGATATTGACATGACAGTGGCATGTTTTAGCATGTTCAAAATGACATGCTAAAATCGTGAATACTTCAGGCAACACTAGCGTGAATTTTGCATGTTCTTAGTATGATTTTTGCATGTCCTTAGCATGGCACTGGTATGTTTTTAGCATGTTCAAACTGACACACTAATATCATGGTAAGAACATGTGAAAATCATGAATACTTTAGGGCACCACTAACATGATTTTGACATGTTCTTAGCATGATATTGGTATGACATTATTGTGTTCTTAGCATGATGTTGGCATGTTCTTACCGTGCCTTTAGCGTGTTCTTAGTATGTTCTTGGCATGTGCACAGGCTGAGTTTTTTTTAACATCTCCTCAGGGGGGTTCAGTGTGTTGAGAACTGATGTGGGCTCCTGGACACAGCACACACACAAACCACACACACACCCACAGCTCACACACACACAACCACCCACACACACCTCATCCATCACACACACCCCCATCCATCCATCCACACACCCCCATCCATCCACACCCCCCCATCCATCCACACACCCATCCATCCACACACACCAAATCCATCCATCCACCCCCATCCATCCATACACACCCCCATCCATCCATTCACACATCCCATCCATCCACACACACCAAATCCATCCACACCCCCCCATCCATCCACACACCCCCATCCATCCACACACCCCCATCCACACTTCCATCCACACACACCCATCCATCCATCCACACACCCCCATCCATCCACACACCCCCCCATCCATCCACACACCCCCATCCATCCATCCACACACCCCATCCATCCACATCCACCCATCCATCCACACACCCAATCCATCCATCACATCCCATCCATCCACACACACCCATCCCATCCATCCACACATCCATCCCACCATCATCCACACACTCCATCCTCTCATCCATCTCCACACCCATCCATCATGCACATCCATCCACACACCCCCATCCATCCACACACCTATCCATCACACTCATCCATCACACCCCTATCCATCCACACACAGCTCCATCCATCCACACACCTCCATCCATTCACACACCCCATCCATCCATCCACACCCCCATCCATCCACACACACCCATCCATCCACACACCCCCATCCATCCATCCACACACCCCATCCATCCACACACCCCTCATCCATCCATCCATCCACACCCATCCATCCACACAAAGCCCCACTCATCCACACACCCCATCCATACACACCACCATCCATCCACACACCCCCATCCATCCACACTCCCATCCATCCACACACACCCCATCCATCCACACTCCCATCCATCCACACACACCCCATCCATCCACACATACCCATCCATCCCACACACCCCCGCATCCATCCACACACACCCCATCCACACACCCCATCCACACACCCCCATCCATCCACACACCCATCCATCCACACACACCCCCATCCATCCACACCCCCATCCATCCACACACACCCATCCATCCACACACCCCCCCATCCATCCACACACACCCCATCCATCCACACACACCCCATCCACACATCCCCCTATCCATACACACACCCATCCATCCACACACCCACACACCCATCACATGCATGCAGTCCCACACACCACTACCACACACACACATCGCTCCCCCACACACACCCATTCCACATGCACACACATCCCCCCAACTCACACACTCACATCCCACACACTCCCCCCTGACACGTCACACACACCTCTCACATCCCACACACCCCCCATACATCCCACCCACACACCTCACACCCCACACACCCCCCCATACATCCCACACCCCACACGCACCCCCCCATCACACATACCCATCCCACCCCCCACATCACACACACACCTCTCACATCCCACACATGTTACACGTCACACACACACATCCCCACACCCCCACAGACACGTCCCACACACGGCCATCCCACCCACACACGTCTCACATCACCCACACCCCTCATCCCCCACCCACCTCCACAGAGGTTCCATCGCTCCAGGGAAGGATCCAGTGCCGGCACTTGGGGAGGAGCTCCAGGTCCCACTGGCCCCTCTGGCTGCAGCCCCAGGGGGGCACCGAGCGCGTCCCACCCAACCCCCAAATTGTCTTTATTTCAAACCCCCTCCAACTGTCTTTATTTCAAACCCCTTAAAATTGTCTTTATTTCACACACACACCCACATTGCCTTTATTATTTCACTCCCCCCTTTCTCCCCGAGTTGATTCCCGCTCTCTCCCGCAGTGTGTTCGTGTGGCGGTGCCTGTGAGGAGCAGGGACTGGGACAGCCGGAACGCCCCGGGACGCTGCCTGAGGGGCACCTGCACTCGCAGCCCCTGCCTGAGCTGGCCTGGGACAGCCCCGGTCCGGGAAGGAGGGTTGCAGGGAATCCTTTGGTGCCCTGGGAGGCCAAAGGGTGAACGGTCCCCTCACGGAGCTGCTCTGGCCCCAGGCCGCGTTGTTCCAATCCTAGAGCACGCCCGGGCCCACCCCTTCCCTCCTGTTCCCCCCTTTCAGGCCCGGCGTTGGGGCAGGAGAGGGGGCACTGCAGCTCCTGGGGCTGGGGGGGCAAAGGGGCCCGTCCTGAACTCCATCCGCTGGTCAATACACACCCCTGGCTCCATTTCTATCCACCAAGTGCCTTGGAATGCTTTCCCAGCAGTTTGGGCTCCAGCCTCGCCTCCACCACCTGCTTTCCACACACGGTGCTACGACTGAGTCCAGGAGGGCTGAGCCACCCCCTTCTCCAGCTGTGCCGACACCATCCCTGGGCTCCAGTGGCTCCCCCGGGAATTCCAACAGCATCCTGTGCTGCCAGAGGCATGGACTGATAGCACTGCCCCTTCCTGGGCAGTGGCCCAGGGGGACACGGGCTTTGCACACCCCGTAAACTGCCCTGAGCAGACACCGAGGCTCCTTCCCCCCTGCTCCCACCCTCTCCCTTTCCTGGGAAATGTGCTTTGCAAGAACTCCTTCCACAGGCAGGGCCAGCCAGAACCCTGGAAGAGCCCCCAAGGATCCCAGTTCCCATTCTGGAGGGGCTCCCTGCCCTGGCCCTGCTGGCTCCTCTGCCCATCCTGCTGCTCCTGCTCTGGAGCCCAGCTCAGCTCTGGGGCAGCTGAACTGAGCCAGAGCTGCCCCCGGGGGGCCTGGCACCACACACATTCCCAAAGAAAGGAAAGTCCCTTTCCCTTTGTTACAACTCTGTCAGAACCAAAAACCCCCAGGGACGGTGCACTGGGAAAAACAAAGTTCAGCTTTTTCCATGGAAACTGTTCAGAAAGGAACAGCAAAGGTGTCAAAACTGCTATTTAAGCTATTTAAAACTCCTAGTGTGCAACCACCACCAGATTTTTAAATCACCTTTCTTTGTTATCTACAATAAATAAAGGCTAAAGGAAAACATTTAGACTTACTTACATTTAGTCTTTGCAAAGCAATGTTAACTAGTGCTTTAGTCCCAGCTCAGGACAAGGGCTTTGAGCTCTGCAACCTTCCTGCCAGGCCACTCTGCTGCCACTGCATGGAAAAGTAGCGAAAACAGCCCGTTAAAGGAGAGGATTCCTGTTTGTTTAACACACAAAGTGCTTCAGCAACCTCAAAGAATCACCCTTTTTTACAGCTGAATTTATTCATGCCTTACAGGACTGCACAGCAGAGCAGTTGGGCACACACAGAGCAGTCCCTGGGCACTCTGTTTTTAGGGAAACCTCCGGGCTCAAACCCTGTTCTGTCACCTGGTGACATCAGTGAGCTCCTCTGCTCTGCTCTAATCACTCATCTCTGCCTTCTCCCCCAGTGATTGTATCCCAAATAAATGCAGCTGTGTGAGAATTAACTCATCAAGTGATGTGGGAAGCACCTTAAAGCAATGGGTGTGCCAGGAGAACACAGGCTGTGTCAGCTCTGCCTTCCCGTGGCAGGTGTTCCAAGGAACGCTGTGCTCTGCTGTCAACTGAAACATTAATGCATGGCTTGATATCTTTCCATGGGCAAGGTGCCATCCAATGAAAATCTGTGTCTCCAATAAATGTGGATACCAGTTTTCCATGTGCAGTTCTTACCCCCCAATAACCAGCTGACCTGCCAAGACTACTGGGACTTACTTGCTCTGCTATTCCCCTCCAGCAGCAAAGGAACATCGTGTCAGAAATCCAAGCAGCCAAGAAGGTTCAGCCTCACAGGGAGCTGGAGCTGCCCAGGCTGGGGGTGTGCCCAGCTCGGCCCCGGATCCCCCGAGTGCAGCAGCAGGGGGGGCCGCTCCCCTCAGAACCCAAACACCAGGCACGTCTGTCTAGAAGCTTTATTGACACTCGGGGTGCTGGGGCGGGGGCTGCGCGTTCCTGGTGGTTGGTACAGCTCACAATGCATTCCACAGACTTAGCTCAGTACAGCTCACACTGCAAGGGGATCGACCTGCACCGCTCGGGTCTCGCACGGCAGGACAGGCCTTTAAGTTTCCAAACAACATTTGCAGCATTAGACACTCGGTCCACAGATTATCAGAGTCTGAGAGCCGGAGAATTATTTGCTCAGGATCGACTACTGTACATTTGTGCAACAAAGTGTGCAGCTGGAATTCTCTGTTACTCTATGTGCAGGCTCTTTGTTCGGTTCTCTGCTGTTGTTGCCAACAGATGCCAGTGTTTACAGAGACCTTGGAGTTTGTCAGGCTCGAGCTCGGAGCTCGCCCAGGCCTCAGCCAGTACTCTGAAGTACAAAGCACTGTGGAGCAGCTGAAAGATCTAAGCTTTGTGAAACACATATATATATATATATTGGCAATCGATAAAACAATAAAATCACAATACAGCTATACTCATACCAAAAAGGCAAGATTTTTCAAAACTTGCTAAACTGGTATATTCTCCTAAAACATCTCATTTTAGAAAATCTGCATCAATCTACACAGACCATACACAGTGCACAGACTGGGAAGTGTTTGTTCTCTGCCCCCCCTGCTCTCCCCTCCGGCTGCAGCACAACTACCTGGGTGAAGCATGTACAGCTCTCGGTCGTGGCATGAGCAGAGCTGCACAGGGGAAGGAAAGATGATTAGTTTAGATCCATACATAGCAGCTTACAATACTTAACATGATGAAACACATGGCAGTCAAAACAGTTATTTTTTTTGTCCTCAAACACTGCGTCGCTAAAAAATAAAGATCTGTGAAATTGCACTGCAATGTCAAGGGGTTTGCTATTCCCTGACCCTCCCCGTGGAAATCCAATGAGTATTTTTCCCCCTTAAAAGATGAACTTCCTATAGATAAGTTGCTTCGGGCTTTTTTATTCAGTTTTGCGCTTCAACCCAGGGATCTTTGCTTGGATCCTGCAAGAGGAAGGAGAAGGAAAAGAACAGCATTTGAGTCACAAACAGAGAACGAGCAGGTACAGACACAGTCTTCAAAACAGCAACACGTGAAAAGAACCATCACAACACAACTGTTCCACTCTAAACTCTCTGCTCCCCCCTCAACTGCACTTGCTGAGAGGCTCAGGTGTCGCTACGGGGTGGAAATCCACAGATTTCTTTTAGAAATAATAAAGGCTCAACTGAACACCAGCATCAGCAAGAAAGGAGGTGATTTTCTCACCATTCCAGAGTTAAAAAGCCCTTTTTCCTCCCGGCCCATGCAATGGCACATTTGTTGCCACGGACAGGAGTGGCACAGGCACCAGGAGCTGTCGTCAGTACAAAGGGAAATCAGTACAACCAAAGCAGACCAACTCACTTTGCCATGGCATCTTTGACATTCTTGTTCACGAGTCCCAGGTAATGGTCGATTTGGGCCTGGAATGGAAGCAGACACGAGTTAGAGCCCCCCTGTCCCTTTGCAGAGTGCCAGAGAAGGCCTGAATGCAGCAGGAGCTCAGCAGTGGGTGTTTCCCAGTGATCCAGAGCTCCTGTGCCAGTGTTTGCCCCCAGGAATGCACAGAGTGCAGGGCCCAGCGGGCAAACCCCCAGTTCAACCCTCTGGCTTCTGCCTGGCCCCTCAGAGCAGCTGTGGGTGCCCAGCCAGGGCCCCTCTGAGCCCCAGGGAGCAGCAAAGCTGCTTAGCTGGGCCTGCTAACCAGCTTGAGAGGATTGAGGAGCCGGGCTAAGCCCCCCACCGGTCATCCTCCCGCCCTGGGGCTCCAGGCCTGCCTCTCCCTGTGCAGGAGGAGATGGGAGGACTCCGTAGGGCTCCCCCCTCTGCCCTGGGGCTCCTTTCTCCCAGTCAGTGCCAGCCTGGGCTCCTTTCTCCCAGTCAGTGCCAGCCTGGGCTCCTTTCTCCCACTCAGTGCCAGCCTGGGCTCCTTTCTCCCAGTCAGTGCCAGCCTGGGCTCCTTTCTCCCACTCAGTGCCAGCCTGGGCTCCTTTCTCCCACTCAGTGCCAGCCTGGGCTCCTTTCTCCCAGTCAGTGCCAGCCTGGGCTCCTTTCTCCCCGTCAGTGCCAGCCTGGGCTCCCTTCTCCCAGTGCCAGCCTGGGCCCTGGGGCCCTTGTTTGTGAAAGGGGAGAAGAACGGCTAAGCCAGAGCTGGCTCCCCCCTCCTGTGCCCTGAGCTGCCCAAGACACTCCTGGCTATCATTTAATCACAGGCATTTGGGTTTGGCTCCTTCTTCCCTCCTCCTTTTACATGGGTGTCTCTCCCCAGGAACAGCACTGGACTGGGCCAAGCAGCTCCCACCTCCTGTTTTTGCCAGGGCTACACATTCCACAGGGCTTCGGGAAACCAATCCCGAATGTCAGAACACGGAGGTGCTTCCAGCAGGATTTGCACACCTTGCCTAGTGCTGCTCTAGTCCTGACCAAAGCTGACCAGCACAGGAGGCCTCCAGGTTCCTCAGGCCTTTTCCACAACTGTTTGCTGGGAAAACCTCTTCCACTTCCACTAAAAAGGAGGAGGGAAGCACACACGGTCTGGACTTCAAAATGAACTTGATTTTCTTGGCTCTGGCTCCTGGTTAAAGGTCTATTTTTAAAGGCTTTAAAGATTTTAAAAACTGAAATTAATTTTAGTTTTGTTTCTGGTTTTGCTTCAAAAAAGCTGATTTTATGAGGCATTTAATGAATTCTATTAAACACTCACCTGATGTCTCTCATAAATAACAGGAACACTGAAGAGCGAAATCAAAGCTGGAAAAGAGCACATCAAAGGTATAAGTATTGACAACTGGGAGGGTGTTCAGCAAAACAAAGACTGGTTTCCACCCCTTGACATGTCTGGCCAAAAAGTACAAGAAATAACTAAGCCCCAGACAGAAATTGTTGGCCAGTTAATGAAATAATCCCCATTAAGGAGAGTCTGGGCTGTTCTCCAGGGCTCAGTGGACAGGAAGTCTGGTCACAGGTCACTTTTTCACTGGGGGTTATGCAAATCCTTCCCAAAGGATGCTCAGACATCACTTGGTTCTGACACCTGAATCCAAGGAACAAAACTGCAGTGGGACAGATCCTGTACCCACCCAGAGACCCAGCACAGCCAGGACACCCACGGCAGGTTCACCCTGCCAAGGACAAGCACAGCAAACAGGCCTGTAAATACCAGGGCTGGAAAATCAGCCTCAAAATGGGCTGGTGTGCAGTGTTACCAAAGCCCTGGGAAAAGGCTCCAAAGGTAACATCCTGAGGCCACAGGAACAGCCTCCCAGTGTGGCCCAGAGCTTCCCCAGTTCCCCCAGTCCAGGAGCTGAGCAGAGCTGGGAGCACTTACCCAGGATCAGCAGTGTCAGACCATTGAACAAGGCACCGACATAGGTGAACACCCACATCAACACTGCGAACTGCGGAGGCAAAGAGAGCCTGTGAGAGCCTGGGACACACACACCACTGTCTGTAAACACCCACAGCACACTCAACAACCCCTGCACACACCACTGTCTGTAAACACCCACAGCACACTCAACAACCCCTGCACACACCACTGTCTGCAAACACCCACAGCAGAACAACACCCCCTGTACACACCACTGTCTGTAAACACCCACAGCACACCAACACCCCCTGCACAGCCACACAACCAGAGCCTGGCTGAAGGATGGGGAACAGGGCAAAACAGCTCCTGCCTCCCACCCTCCCAAGAGGCACAGCCAGCAGAGGTTGAAGGGCTGGTGAATGGCACAGAGGCAGAAAGAAAGCAGGTCACTGGTGTGGGGGGCCCTGCAGCCAACTCAGTGTCCACTGTGGCTCCAAACTGCCACCATCACCCTCTGCTCAGCAAAGCTCTCACTGAACCCTTGGCTACACCAGGCAGAGGTTTCTGTCACATCAGAGCACAGCCTGTCTAGAAGGTTACCTACCATGTTTGGTAGGCTTGGCTTGATCTACCTTTTTTCATTAAAAAAAACCCAAAGGTGCTTGGGATATTAAGGGATTTAGGAAAGAGAGGAGTCAACAGTGCCCTAAAATGGAGTCTGGTTCCAAGTCTGAG